CTAGTAGGAATGTAGGATAGCAGCCGATTAACAAAATGTAAAAGAGAGAAAAAATGTATGAGTATGATGTGAGTGGTAGCTAATTTGGTGCAATTGCATCTACCAATTTATGATAGTATAAGCTCGTTGTTGATTATAACTTTAATTACTGTAGTTTACTGAAGCTAATTGACTACATTTTTATGAAAATAATCAAATAGTTGCTTGATAAACATTTATCATGTATTCTTTCTTCATTAAATGTTTACACATCTTATCTACTATTTTCTTATTTTGTTTCGATTTCTTAAAAAAAAAAAAAAAAAAAAGATCAAAAATTGACTGAATAATTTAGTTATAAACAAATATTTATAATTAGATAAATAGTTTATGATATATACCTGTAAAACAAGAAGTTATGAATGAATGAGCACTAGTATTTAAAGATCCTCAAAAATAAAAGAACTGAATCTGTGCCGGTTGGTGATTTTACAAGGAAGCTTTTGGACCACCATTTTAATGCAAGCCACGCATGCCTTCCAAATAAGTTGAGAAGCAGCTTTTTTATGTCTAGCTTGGACTTTGGGCATAAAAGGAAGATCCTTTCATGAGGTGAGTTGAGCGTGGGAGTTTGCTGTGCGTTTCAAGAAGTTCAGATTCTTGAAGTGGAAAGCTAGAGAAGGAGAAAGTTATAACCATTAACCTCAATAAGTTGTAGCTTAACTGAAATTAATATATACATACATATATATATATATATATATATATATATATATATATATATATATATATATATATATATATTATGAAAATATCTCGAATTCGAACCTCTTCTGTCTATCTCTTTAAAATAGACTAATTACTAGTAGTTTTCTAAAGTTATATTTTGATTCTAAAAATATCTTCAAATAAACAAGATTAAATCCTTCTTTGATCTTGTTTTAAATAGGCCATTCTTATCCATAGGATATATGGTGTCAAAAAAAAGTTATTTAAACTACCCTTTTGTTTAAAGAATTTATTTTATTGTTAATAGGACTTTTAAAAAATAATAATACTAAATTTATGAAACTTTTTTGTTTAAAAAGAGTCGGAGGTCACATAGAACAACAAGCTCGATTTAATTATTTGTGATATAATTTTATCATTTCATATTTTGATAATTTTTTCTAAGTTATTAGTTGATTTTAAGCATTTTTAGAGTTTTGATAATTAAAATAAAAATTTAATAAGTCAAACAAAATACTATATTTCTTTAATCATTAGGACAACTTTTGAGGTTATGATATATTTATTATGTTTGCTTTATCTAAACCCTTCAAACCAATTGAATAGTTTAGATTTTGTTCACAATTTTTTATACTTAAATACTTACTTTTACTTATTTCCCTTTTCTATGGTCGCTTTTCTTTTTCTTGTTGTTCTAAAAAGGATATATATATATATATATATATATATATATATCTATCACAAGGCAACACCGAGGCAAGGCGATGATTTTGAAAAATAGGTAATGGGCAAAAATAATGAAGTCGTCTGCCTAGGATTATGGTTATTAGGTAACCATATAGCTAGTCTATTCGAGTAATAGGTAAGGGATTTGTCATGTGTAGGAAATATTAAAAATTACTCTATGTCGTCCTATCTAAGACAAAATACATTGCATATAAATCTGATTTGATTTATAAATTTTATAATGAAAACCTATTCCTATTCCGAAATTTTATCTAACTGGATGAGTGATTCGGGACTTGATCGATCAAAGGTTTTATTCTCACTGCGAGACGTAATAAATCTAAAATTAAAATTCACATGATAGATATGGAAAAAGTATATAACAATTAAAAAAATGACAAAGATAGTCCAAAAATTGGGTTTGGACTAACATAACTTTAAATTCCAAATTTTTAAGGCAAATAGGCAAAATCATTGAAATTTGCAAAAAAGATCCAAAAACAGGATTCATACCAATAGGACTTCAAATTTAAAAATTTTAAGCAAATTGGCAAAGTCATCAAATTTGATAAAAATGGTATGAAAACAAGATTCGATTAACACGACTTCAAATGTCATGATTTTCAAATGCATAGCAAATGAATTCGGCAAATAAAATTGGTATGTTAGGCAATGCGTGGCATGAACGATCCGAACCAAGGTGTAGATCGACATGACTTTTGTCACACGGTGACCTCTCGATTATCGCAAAAATAAATAAAGATGTATAATATGTAAATATGAAGTCATCACTCGGGTTTCAAAGGTAAAAACTAAGAAAAACCTAATACCGGTCTCAAGAGTTCTAAGTAAGAGGGTTGATTACACCACTAGAGAAGACTATAGTCATCCTAGAGTGTCTCGCAATAAGGTTACCTTATATTTCTAGCTCGGAGGAATTCGTTCATCCAAATTATCTTTTTATCCTGATTTACGTGCTTGACTTTTTAGGCTTTTTCTAATCAAGTACTAAGAGAGCTTATTTTGAGACTTAAATAAAATTGAGTCTCTCACATAATATGTCATTGAGTCTTTGAAGCCCATCCGGAAGGTAAAAATTAAGGCTAAAAGCCAATTGCACATTAAATTCTAGTCCTATTGAAATGCACAAATAAAAAATAAAATAAACATGGGCTCGGCTCAAATTTACCTGCCAAACCATAAAAAAAAAAAAAGAAGAAGAAGAAGATAAAATTACAAGTCCGCAATGACTAAAAAATGGATATGGGCCTCGAGCCCATATCACATGCCATGCCATTTTAAAATATAAAATTATGTCAAATGCTAAATTAAGAGCTAAATTTGCAAAAAGAAAAGATTACTAGCACCATGAAAAATGATTAAAATTAACAATAAACAATAGCCATAAAAATAATTTAAAAAAAAAAACAAGAAAAAGGTCTCGTCATTGGAACAAAGTCGGTATCGAGTCCGAAACCTACTTCATTTAGACTCGACCTAAACTGACATCGCATAAAATTAACACACCTAATGGAAAACATAAAAACATGTAAAAAAATCAAATATCACATATAAACAACCTCATGAAAAATAAAATAGTCATAGACTTTCACGGGGTCCTCGACCTATAAATTTGAATTTGGCTTATTTTAATTTTCTATAAAAATTGCTAGTTTCATCATTAACCGATAATTCCTCAAGAACTTTTATAGAAAATAAAAATAACATACAATCAAGTCGTTACCCTTAACCCATTTTTTTAAAAAACAATAGATATAGTATATACAAATAAAACAAATCCTAAAAATATTAAATACTCTTTACCCAATAAAAATCCTTATTTTATCACATATACCCATCAACTAATTTAAATTTTAATTCTTTTAAATCTGTCAAATAACATCATGAAAAATAAAATAGTCATAGGCCTTCACAAGGTCCTCGACCTATAAATTTGAATTTGGCTTGTTTTAATTTTCTAAAAAAATTGATAGTTTCATAATTGACCGACGAGTTCCCAGGAACTTTTATAGAAAATAAAAATAATATACAATCAAGTCATTACCCTTAACCCATTTTTTTTTAAATAATAAATATAATATATACAAATCCTAAAAATATTAAATACTCTCTACCCAATAAAAATCCCCATTTTATCACATATACCCATCAAATAATTTAAAATTTAATTCTTTTAAATCTGTCGAATAACATCAAGAATTCTCAATTAATTTTTTTTATTGAGCTCGAATTAAATAATTTTTAATCCAATTAATCATCCCAATTCTATGTTAATCACATAACTTATATTGTAGAATAGAAATCAAATATATAATCATGCAAGCCACAAAAATTTAGATCAAAATTAAACCAAAAAAATGTTTAAATTCTGGGGTACAATTGTGAAATAAAAAATTCAAGTATTGAATTGAACACAAGCAAAACAAGGAGAAAGAGACAGACCTGGCATGTGTGGTGCGTGCTTCTGGCATCGTCTTAGATACTCGCATGCGTGAGAGAGAGTCGGACGTCGGATGGGTGGCATATTGGTGGCGTTGGCTTCGTCTTTTCCTTTCGGTCACGACGGTATGACGCGTGCCAGTTTTTGTTGACCGAAGGAGGAGCGATGACGCTGTAAACTTCTACTGACTGTTGATGTCTTTAGCTTTTTCGGTTTTGTTTTATTTTTCTAACAACTAGGTTTTTTCTCTCTCTCCTCAGTGGCTGTTTCTAAGGTTAATCTAGGATTTTTTCCTATTTTGATCAGGCATAGCCCAATGCCTAATCTAGGCTCACTCCTCCTTTTTCTTTTTTCAATCATGATCTAAGCCCAATTCCTCCCTTTTTATTTTTTCTTTTTTCTTCTTTTTTTTGTTGTATTTTTTATTGGGGTAAAAATAAGACGATGACAGTTGCTCTTTTTTTACAATGCTTATACATCTAAGATGTAAAAAAATAAGTTTTCAAACATCTTGACTTAGTGAGTTTGTAAAAAAGAGACGTGATAAAAAATAACAAATTCAGAGAAATGAACCACATATGGATGATTCGACTTTAGAAATGAATCAAATATACAAACAATCATAGGATGATTTGATTTTAGAAATATATGAATATACAAAACACCGTTTAGTTTTTTTTATTATATCTGGATCTATACACATTAGATCATGACGATCCAAAGCCTAAAGATAGAAAACATTTACACTTACAATATTTACGAAGAGTCCAAGACCAAAAGAAATCGCCATCTGATTCGAAATCAATCCGTGTTCCAGTGGCAGGGAAAAAAAAAAAAAAACCCAAAAAAAAATCCCTCAGCCGCCAGCCAAGAGCCAAGAGAAAAACCCCAAAAAGCCGCCGGCCGAGCTCTCTTCCAACTCAAACTTAAGTCTGGTAGTTTTAATTAAAAAAAAACTACAATTGTCTTTGTAACCTTTAGTCCAATAAATTTTGGGTTGGGTGAAGACCAAACTCTTTAAAAGCCCAAAACAAAGGTAGCAGTAGCCCAATACGAAAACCCTCATAACATCCCCTTCAAAAACCCTACTAAAACTCAAAACTAAATGGGAAAGAAACCGAAACCTCAAGTAATGGGAAAGAAAGACAAACAAGCATCAAAAGCATCAACAGAGGAACTTCTAACAACACTTGGAGACTTCACTAGCAAAGAAAACTGGGATAAATTCTTCACAATCAGAGGCACTGATGACTCCTTCGAGTGGTACGCGGAGTGGACTGAGCTCCACCGTCCCCTCCTCTCTCTTCTCGCCGGAAATGACGAAAATTCTTCTTCTCCAGCGCTGCAAATTCTGGTGCCGGGTTGCGGGAATTCGAAGTTGTCAGAGAATTTGTATGATGCAGGGTTTAAGGAGATAACGAATATTGATTTTTCGAAAGTTGTGATTTCTGATATGTTGAGAAGGAATGTGAGGGATCGGCCTGGTATGCGGTGGCGTGTCATGGACATGACTCAAATGCAGGTACGGTTACAATGATCTGTCGTTCTCTGTTCAATGTTGTTACGGTTGTTGGTCTCCTCTTTAGTTTACTAAATTTTAGTACAATGTTTACCAGTTGGCAGAGGAGAGCTTTGATGTTGTTCTTGATAAAGGAGGATTGGATGCTTTGATGGAGCCAGAGCTTGGGCCGAAGTTGGGAAACCAGTATTTATCAGAGGTTTATTGAACTTCAGATTTATGCCTATTTTTATCACATACATTTGTTTTATGTGAAGAGTTTCCATTGGTTTTTGGAGAACACTAAATTTGCTAGTAAATTTTATTAACAGGTTAAAAGAGTGTTGAAATTTGAAGGGAAGTTTATTTGCCTAACGCTTGCAGAATCTCATGTTCTAGGTATCCATTTTGCTTCTCTCGTTTCTCTCTTATTCTATTTGTTGTTTATGTGGATGTCTCATTTCAAGTATTACTAACAATGTCTTTTTCAGCTTTGCTTTTCTCTAAGTTCCGGTTTGGGTGGAAAATTAGTGTTCAGGCTATGCCACAGAAACTGTCGAGTAAGCCTGCCCTTCGTACTTTTATGGTTGTTGCTGAGAAAGAGAATTCTAGTGCTTTGCACTCGATCATGGCATTGTACGATCACTCTTCTCTTGATTGTATTGGAAATCAGGTATCATGAAGTGGTTTCCTTGTCTTTTCTTTTTATACGTAATAGGTTCCAACGACAATAATATAGGACAAATAAGATTTACAGAATAGATTGTGTTATGAGGGCTACGACTTATGACTTAATTAAGCCTTGAATTAAAATGGTATTAATGAGCGAATATTCATACTTATAGTTTGCTTTTGTTGTAAGCTTTGTATGTAGTTCTTGTTACTTTGTGTGCAAGTCTTGGTAAAACATCTTTTGGATGTGTGACAGTAGTTGCTGATGCATTTTTAGGCTTTTGGTCTACATGAAGCCCTTGAAAATGAGAATCAAATTCGTAAAGCATATTCTGGTGGTTCTGATATATTGTACTCTCTTGAAGATCTTCAAATTGGAGCTAAAGGGGACTTGTCAAAGCTTAGCCTAGGCCGTCGTTTTCAGGTTACTTTGGGTGGGAATTGTGACTCCAATTTTAGTTACAAAGCTGTAGTTCTTGATGCCAAGGAAAGCTCCGGCCAATTCACTTATAATTGTGGGGTTTTCATTGTGCCGAAGGTATGCTGAATAGTATATAACTTGGCTACTTTGCATAGAAAACTATTTTTATTGGTTTGCTAATCTGAAAATATGCAGTTTGGCTGCTCCTCCACTAGAAAATTCTCAACACACTTATCAAAAAAAAAAAAAAAAAAAAATTGGATAGAGAAATCACGTATAAAGGAAATGACTGCTTGGTGTTTTAATGTTTCATACTTATCTTTGCAATGGTGCAAATATGCAGTCATCTTTTGGTGGATCCTTCTTTGAGCAATTATTGGTCCACACTGTCATCCAACATTACATATATTTCCTGTTTTATATTTCTCATAACAGCCATGTTGTCAATTCGAGAAATATGCTACCTTAGCTTCAAGCTGAATCATAGCAATTCTAAACTGATTGCCAAGATAAGGTCAAATTGAATTGGGGTCTGGAAGGGAGACTTTGGATACAATCTTAAACATCTTATATTTCAGTAATTGCGCCAAGTTCTTCTCAAAATTCTAACGTACTCCTGCAGTTGCAAGCTCAGAAAATTGTACCATTGCAACGCTAATTGTTACCAGCTAAAATGGTCTAGATACCCATCAAACTGGAGAAGGATGAAACGTGTCCTCCCCTCATTTTACCACTGCTTTCACACGTCTTACTTTTGTAAGTGGAAACCTTTTCCAGAGGCATGATTCACTGTGCCTTTTTGAAACTGGTCATTAAGAGATTATTCAGTGGACTAGCTGATTAAAATTTGGATAGAGAAAAAGAAGTAAATCATTGCATGGCTTACAGAAATAAGCTTCCACATATTAATCTTCATAGTTATTCATCTTTTTTTCTTTTATTATTTTCTTTTTTAACTTTTTCTCTGTGATTTTTACGCATACGTGCCAGTGCAGAGATTAATGCATGTATATGATATAGGATGTCATTAGTGTTAAAATTCATGTTGTTTAAGCTTTAGTAACCAAACGCAATTAGGGCAATTGCTGTTTTCTATTGCATACCTAACTGAATGTTGGATTTCAGACTCGAGCTCATGAGTGGCTCTTCTCTTCGGAAGAAGGACAATGGCTGGTCGTTGAAAGCTCAAAGGCAGCTCGTTTAATAATGGTAGCTTCTTAGCATCAGAGTTGTGATTATCTTGTACATATTGGTCCTATGAAATTTATACAACTACAAATCTAATCAAAATTTTTGTTCTGAATGAAGATTATAATGGATAGTAGTCACACTAATGCCAGCATGGAAGATATTCAGGTACTTCTTTTCAGTTCTCTTTTTCAAAGAGGCATGTCTTTTGAGATGTCAACTATTTAATTATTTTAGTTTATTTTTACAAATATCTAAGTCGTGGATTCTCTTCAGGAGGATTTATCTCCTCTGGTTAAACAGTTGGCACCTGGAAAAGATGACAATTCAGCACAAATTCCGTATGTAACTCATAATTTTCTCCTTATAATAACTTTGCTGCCAGGAGAAAAAGAAAGTTTTGTTTTTGTTTACAACTTATAATGAATTTTTATTTTTCTGCAAACCATTTTTTTTTCCTGAAGAACTGTCAACCTTTTGTGTTGAGGTCATTATGTATTTATACATGAATTATGATCTTTCTCACTTGAATTTAACATCATCTCTGCAGTTTCATGATGGCAGGTGATGGAATCAAAGAACGAAAAACTGTGCATAAGGTTCACAACTCTCTTGTACTGTTATTTCATTTTCTATGTGGTCATGATGATGGCATTTGTAAGTAAATACTCTCTTAGTTGGTTTTAGCTGTTTTCCCACCAAAAAAAAAAAAGAAAAAAAGAAAAACAAGGGGAAAAAGAAAAAGAAAAAGAAAATCCCATAGGCAATAATGGAAGAAATGTTATTATGTATTTTATCTCTATAATCAGCTCTACCTGGTAGATTGTCTTAATTTATTTGTTCATTTAAATTATAAAAACCACCCTGCATGTTCATTTCAGATGTTATGATTTGTACTTTGCTGTTCCAGAGTTTCTCATAAAATTTATGTCATTAAAAGACAGGTTTGTCAAAATTAAATGATCATTGCAGCCTTTTATAGTGAGAAAATATTTAATGAAAAAAAAAAAAATTGGACTAGGATCTCCAACATGAAACTTTAAGAGACCAAGTGGAATAGCTATACACTGTAGAAACCATCACCAAACTTTATGCAAACTTGATACAGGATTGCTGGATTTGCTTGAACACTATAGCACAACCTATTGACTAAATAATGAATAAACAAAATGGACCTGGCAAGCAGGCCAAGAATAGCAATGAGATATTACACAACAGTTTGGTCTGTTAGTATGCTTGAGTATCCAATTAAAAGCACAGGTTTGTGGAGAGACTCGTCCTCTTTAAAGACCATCCACTACTTTCTTTTCTTCTCTCATAGATAAAGATGTGGTCGTTATTTGGGTAGGTAGTCGAAAGAGAGGTGGCAGAGCTGTGTCTGCATACTTAGAGAAAAGGAGTTTTTATTACGGAATGGTTTTAGGTTCTTCAAGGAGAAGGGGTGGTGAGACTTGATGGTGGCTCTGGTCTCTAGTTGTGGGTTGTGGTTGGTGATATAGGGAGAGCTGGTGGTGGAGGTATGCCTATTGGGCTAGAGAGAGAAAAGAGATCTCTAGAGAGAACAGGGGTGGTTCATTTGTTAAGAAGAAAACTGGGAATCATGTTTGGGATAATTTGGTCTGCCATATTTTTGCCTACTTAAGTGAAGAACATAACTTGAGAAATGCTCAATATATGCTCCATGTCATATTTTGCCCAATGTATCCTCACCAAGTTCAACCTTGGATGTGTTCTGTAGGTTACATCTTCATTAACTGGGTCAATAATTGTTGAAGATGTGGTTTATGAAAATGTTGCTGATGATGTCAGTCGTCCTTTTCCATCTAGTGATTTGGTATTCCGCCGCCTTGTTTTCCAAAGAGCAGAGGGTCTGGTTCAGTCTGAAGCTCTTCTTACAAGAGATGAATCTTCTCATAAAATTGTTGAAGAGAAGAAGAAAACTAGTTCTTCCAAATCGAAGAAAAAAGGAAGCCAAAAACGGAATGATGGTAATGACTCATATCTATTACTTCTGCTTCTATTTTAAAATCTGCAGTGCCTGTTGGGTGTACTTTTAATTTTTGGATCAATCTTATTTAACAGTTTGTATTTGTTCTTTTGGCTCATGTAACTCTAATGCTTGTTTGTTTTGTTCAAATTATTTTACCTTGAAGCATGACTGCCATGACAATTTTTCTTTAGATAGAACGTCTTCTATTTCAAAATAACTGAATGGCAAACCTTGCAATTAAATCCTCTAATGTTTTATTGTATGATGTTCTCTTTGAAATTGGCCTGTTAATGTCATCAGAGCCAGAATAAGGAAGACAGTTGCTTTCTTAACTGCATCTTGAATTATATATGCTGTCTTCCAAATGACTAAAACTTGCCATTGATGACTTATCATGTTCAAGATGATTTATGGCTATTTCTCTTGCATTTCATCATTCTGATAAAGAACTGTCTTGTTTCCCTCCTTGTTTTAGTTTTCTCTGTTTTTATGTCTTTGATGTTGTTCTTATTGTAGCATCAAGCAAGCAACTGAAGGTATATCATGATTACATGGCCAGTTCTTATCATATGGGAATCATTTCTGGCTTTATGTTGATGTCTTCTTATTTGGAAAGTGTGGAATCGGCTGGAAAAACAGTAGGTGTTACAGTGCTTCTCTCAATTCCTTTTTTCTCAAAAGAATCCTGTGCTCTAATAGTTCAGTTTTAAGTGAAAAGGGGAAAACTGTGTTTTCTGACAATTAGTAGAGAATACTTTGATTATTAATAGTGCTAATGAAAAAAATTAATTTAACTGCTATGGACTATCTGCCATGCATAAAATACAGAATTTTGTGCCCATTCATGATCATTTATGTTTGACAAATGATTTGTTCAGCCAAATGGAGGGTTTTGAAATTAAATGCCTACTTTTACTCCTGTGTAAGAGAGCATATCTGAGATATTTCATGTTTTCTATGTGTGAGATTATGGTGGTTGCCCTCTGCTTCTTAAGTTTAGCAACATTTTATTTTCAGGTTAATGCTGTTGTCATTGGTCTTGGAGCAGGCTTACTTCCCATGTTTCTCCATGGATGCATGCCTTTTTTGCACATCGAGGTAATTGTAGGATTCCCATTCATCCCAGAGGGGGAAGGTGGAAAAATAGACATCATTCTTTGAGATTTTCACTTGATGGGGTTGGTTTGATGAATCATCCCATCCACAGGTGGTGGAGTTGGATGCTGTGGTACTTAGTCTTGCAAGGGATTACTTTGGTTTTGCAGAAGATGAATGTTTGAAGGTAATTTAGTCTCTTTTTATAAGTTTTGCCTTTTCAGTGACTATATGTGTATGCTCTATTTGATTTCCCTTAGGTGCCCTCCTCTCTGTGTTCTTTCTTTTGCTATTGGAATTGTTTTGATTTCTTTATTTTATTTTGATTGGCAAGTCTTGAAACTTTAAGATCTACACCATCTTCTCTGTTTGAACAAAAGCTAACTGGCGTGAGCTGGTTTTGCTAATTCTCAATTGATTTCTTGCAGTTACATCTATCATGGAGCAGTAGTATGTCATCACATTCTATTGTTACTAAATAAACCAAACATTGCAGGGATTTGTTGAGAATTATGAGAGCATCGATGATTTTTTATTATCTAGAGCCACTCTGTACTATAAAATTTGTCCAATTTAATCATTAGAGCACGAAACTTGTTTTTTTAAAAAATTGGTGATGAATACAATGATTGATGACTCTTAAGAAAGTATACTTCTGGATTTCTTAACATACAAAAACAGAGAAGATATATCATCATTCAAATTACAATTGCAGATTTTGGTAGTCCCTCTAACCAATTTCTTCTATGTCATTGCAGGTACATATTGCTGATGGGATTAGGTTTATTAGAGAGGTAAAAAATTTCGCTGCGGCTGATGGAGTGCCTGCCATTCATGGAAATGAGGATGCTTCTGGAAGTACAAGGCCTTCTCCTAATGAAAGTTGCACTGTGTCTTACACAGAAGGCAGAGGAAGACCTAGTGTCGACATACTTATTATTGACGTGGACTCTTCAGACTCGAGGTAAGTTTAAATATTGCACTTTGTTGCATCTTATTATTTCAGCCAAACAATTGTGGTCGCATGCTCTAGAATCTTGTGCTCTTTTTCATTTCATCTTCTTGTCTGGACAGCTCTGGAATGACCTGCCCAGCTGCAGATTTTGTGGAAGAATCTTTTCTTTTGACTGTAAAAGATACCCTTTCTGAGCAAGGTCTCTTCATTGTCAATTTGGTATCAAGGTCCCCGGCTGTTAAAGATATGATTATTTCAAGGATGAAAGCGGTGAGTTAGATTTTCATATATTCGTTAATCGAAGAATATTTTCATGTCTTTGTGCTAAGGATTTGTTTAGAGTTTCTTGTGTCTATGCATTTTTCCTTCGTTCTTGAGTTTCAGGACCGTTCTAGAGTAGAGAAGAATAGTTTTAGCCAACCTTATCTGGGTAAGTTAGTTTATAACAGTATAATGTGAGCTCATAAATAGGTGGATATGAGATCAGGGATATGCTCAGATTAGAGGGCTAATGTGGAATCCTCTTAAATGTTTAACGTGCTTGGGTGGACATTTCATCCACTCATTTTCTCTTGTATCTTGTCGCAGTCTCCCCCTCGCCCCTCTTTCTACCCGAGCTTGCTTTGTATTGCAGTACAAATTGCTATTTGCTTTCTTGGTTTCAGAAATTTGCTGTTGTCTGAGTCATATCTTGCTATTCATCTTCAGGTCTTCAACCACCTGTTTAGCCTTCAGCTTGAGGAAGATGTCAACATGGTTCTTTTTGGTCTTTGTTCGGAAGTTTGCACGACGGAGGATTGCTTCCCGGAGGCTGCCTGCCAGTTTGACAAACTGTTGAAGTTCAAACACCCGGAAATAGGCCAAAACATTATAGATTCAACAAAGAAGATCAGATGTTTAAAATGAAACACGACCAGGATGTAATTCTTGTGAAGCCCAGCAATCTGTTTAAACCAAAGTTCTTGGTTGCAACAACAAGAGCACATGCATCTGAGAAAATTATGAACAATATGCGTACTGTATCTGTGTGGAATCAGCTGATGGTTCTAATGTTCATAATCTATGTGCTTCATGGTTAATTAATTCTTCAATGATTTTATGCAGTGTTATTAAATCTGAACTCCACTGGCCAGTCCGATCGTAAATTCGGTTGGGCTATCTAATCTGTTCGGGTAATTTTTTTTTTTTTTTTTAATGAAATGAAAAATTATAATTCATATGTTGCAAAATATATTCATATTATAATATAAGCAAAATTGATCGAATGACCGGATGATTTAATAGGTTGATCGAATCATTATTCAAGCTGAGTTTAGTAAAATTGATTTTAAGATACTATAAATTGCTATGAGATTGCGGGTGAAATTACGAGAAATAAAGTATCATAACTATAATTTTCAATAGAGAAATTAGTACGAGAAATATGTTAAATATAATTATTTTTCCATATAGAAAAGTAATTTGTGGCGGCATAAAATTGACCTTGTTGGATTTCTAATTATTATCCAATTTTTAATTGGGCTTGACCCATCAGGTTCCAAAAATCAACCTAATTTTTATTTTTACCAAAGAGGAAAAAGAAAAACCTATCGAATTTTTTTTTTTTTTAAAAGAAAAATAAAAAAATGACTCAAGTGCAATCCAAATCTAGAGCCTTAGAGAGTAGTAATCCATTCCATAGGGCAAGTATTTTCAACCTTAGAATTTCAATCAATTACACTTTATTTTCAATCCAAATCTAGAGCCTTAGAGAGTAGTAATCCAAATCTAGACATTTCTCAAGAGTCATTAAAGTCTCAAAAGTTACTTAATCATTTCAATCAATTACCTAAACTTTTACTTTTCAATTACACCCCTACAATTTGCAATTACATCCCTAGGCCTAAACATAACCATAACCATAACAATTACCATTACTAATCTCTAATTCACCCTCTATTCATTCCATAATCCTTTCATTATAATCAAACTTTTATTTAATTCATCCTTAATAGTATAAACTTTCATCTTTCGCTTTATTTAAATATTCTTTTATTATTTAAATAAAACATATTTAAAACGTATTTAAGTTTAAGGAGGATTTTGAGTCAGGGATATTACACTGCAGCGATGAAATAAAGCAGTCTCCTGTCGGCTCACTAAAAAAATGCAGGCAAGATTCGATAAAATCGTAAAATGCTAGTCTGCCACGTCTGATGCTTTGGGTTGTCAAATACACCAGAGGCTTGTGACTTCAGTACTGAGAGTATCCAATGTCTGATGATGAGATGCATCTTGCCTCAACAGCCAGTGTCTTAACAACGCCACGGCATGGATCTCCAAATATAGCATTTGAAATTGCAATATCACACTTATTTTTTCCCAGGCAAGCCTGCAAAATAGTAACAAAGATAAAATCGCCGGGAAAAACCACTGCAAACACAATTTATCAACAAAACCTCTACTGTTTTAGTCCAATTAGTACTACCTGCAAGTCTAAAACTATAAAATGAAGAATGTCTCCTCTAAGGGTCCATCTAACATGTGCTCTTAGGGCATATGTCGAGGGGTTAGTTATGAACAGTAATCCTAATTCTGGTAGAAGTGTGAGATTTTTTAAATTTTCAAACACAAATCTAACGACTAGTCGCTAGTTGTGCTTGAAGGCACTTTTTTTTCCCCCTTATAAATACAAGCAAGAAAACAATCCAAGGAATTCCATTTATTTCAGTAAGAAAAAAGACTCACTTTTTCCCCCGAAGAAGAACAGGAAAGTGAACTCCGGTCTAATAAATCAATGGAGCGAGAGTGAAATATATGTGATTTATGTGCTAGCACTCGTTCTGTTCTCCTTTTTTAACTACACCTAGATATGCAGTTCAAAGAATTTCAAGTTTCATGCCACTCAATGAAGATAGTCAACTAGATGCATAGCATTCACGATCGTGTTTGAGAATTCCAATTTTATACTTTGCATTGAAATATCTACCACAAAGTTACTCCTAAACATGTTCTCAGCACCAAAAGACCTTGAATTCTGACAATTAAAAAATTGAGTGCAAAAAGTTGTGTTGGCATGCTTACCTCAGAGACCACAGAAAAAGAACTGGGGGAATGGCAGTTGCCTCTAAAAAACTTCTGGCAGCTACCTTTAGGAGTTCCATAGCTAGCAAATTCTATTGAGGAGACTATATGCCCTTCTTGACACTGCAAGTGCATTTCTGGCGTCATATCACTACCTGCAATATTTCTACCAGTAAAATCCGCCCAGGACCACTTCTTGAGAGGTGGATAATCGGACTCCGACACTTGAGCGCAGATCACTTTTGCTGACCATAACTTAACCGAAATCTCAAATGGATTCCCTCCGGTTTCCTCAAATACGACAAGTAAATTATTTGATGCCTCTAACCAAGCCCGAGGAACATGGTACCTGGACATAAACCAAAAACAGCTTGTGAAATTATAACCGTGATTTTCATTTCAATTGTCAAATCATGCGATGGGAAGCAAGCATATTTCCATCATGGACATGTACACAAACTGACACACAAGCATCTCTGACAAAAAGTTTACCAGGTTTGAGTAGGATTGCCACAATTTGTCATACACTTTCCAGAATTGTAGGCTCCACGATAATCACAAGTTCTACATCCATCCTTTGGAGCAACCACTGTCCAGTATCTTCCTATGTGGTGACCGTTGACCCATGCCTGGCCCTTTCCCATGCTTCCCAAATCAAGTACAACTGGGTCATCCCCAGCTGGTGCATCGAAGAATGTCTTCATGAATTGAGAGAAAATGTATTATTTTAGAATGAGAGTAACATGCATGACATTAAGTGATCAACATCAGCTCTGTGTGTGTGTGTGAGTTCCGACCATCAAGGACATTTGTTAATCACTTATTCATGAATGCCAATTTCAACTTCAACTGATTAGTATTTTATACTAATATTTACAGTAATAGATACAACAGGACCACGAATCAGCATTTCAGCCTATCCAGTCTTCTACAAGCAAAATCAGGAAAATAACTTACAAATGTACTACATAATAGTTTTCCTGGTCGAAAACCATATAAGATATTAGATTTACCTTATACCAGGTAAATGTGGATGGAATAGCATCAACCGTCAAATCAACCCATTCGAACGTTTCATTATCGCCTGTGGTGTATACCTTAAAGAACTCACCCCTAAGGCCAACCTTTAAAAGAAAGTAACCAACTCAGTTATCCACCTTTAGGACAGAGAAAATGTTCTCAAATGCACTTTGATGCAGAAGCAAAGAATCAAATCAGATGTGGAAAAGAACATACTCAACAGAAAGGTGTAAGAGCCAAACTATTTAAAAGGTGTGCCACTACGAATATCAAAGTCTCTTACAGTTTGCTACAAAAACTAAGTGCAAACATACGAATCGAAATTTCAAATCAAAGTCTCTATTGCACTTTGATGCAGAAGCAAAGAATCAAATCAGATGTGGAAAAGAACATACTCAACAGAAAGGTGTAAGAGCCAAACTATTTAAAAGGTGTGCCGCTACGAATATCAAAGTCTCGTTTGCTACAAAAACTAAGTGCAAACATAAGAATCGAAATTTCAAATCGAAGTCTCTATTTAGTTTTCATGTGTTACATTTAAGGCATTGGTCCTCCTTTCCTTTTTCTCTCTCTACATCCATGTAAGTTCCTGCTTCACATTTCTCCATCAAACTCACTTATTTGAATAGATAAACAAACTCAAGATAGTCAGATATTTGGAGGATATAGTCAAAACATATGCTGGATTCTATTTCAGTATTGAGTTAAAATCCAAGGGACCCAGGCCACCAGCAGTCAGACAGAGGTCGCATTTTTCTCAGTTCAAGACATCAGCAAGCACAAGATATTGAGTAACTTCCAGATCTACCTTCACCCATAGCTTTGTTTTGTAAGACATGTGGACATGCTGAATGACACACTAGAACCACTCGTACTTCATGAGATTTTAGTATTTGAAGAGAAAACCTACTGCTACAGGGACAACTTAGCAGAGAAAGGTCAGAACTACAGTTTCCTAGTAATCCAAGTAGTTTCAAAATCAATCAAACATATATATATATATGTGTGTGTGTGTTTAAAAAATTGCCAAATCCATGATTTCATGCATCAGCAAAATGAAACTAGAGAATGTCAAACAAGGTCATCAAAACGTAGCAGATAAAGGCCAGAACTACAGTTGCCTAGCAATCCAAGTAGTTTCAAAATCAATCAAATATATATATATATATGTTAAAAAAATTGCCAAATCCATGATTTCATGCATCAGCCAAATGAAACTAGAGAATGTCAAACAATATCATCAAAACATACCTGGTAAGTCCATAATAAGTTTGAGAGGTCTATTTCCCCATTTTTAAACCCAGTAAGCTTAATTTGACCTCTAAAGCCTGCTCCATCTCTCTCTAAGAAGGCACCGTAGTTCTGTACCATCAATTTAAATCATAGGGAAGAGTATATGGAATTAGTAACAGAAGACTTTAGGAGATAAGATAACATGCAAAACTAGATTAACAGCAACAGAACAAGTTAACTAAGATGCTATGAAGATACTGAACAAGCCTACCAAGTGCCATTACACTAAAACAGAATGTGTTTGCTAAACAATTTGCAACTCACAAGCAACCAAAGGCAAGAAATGAGCAGAATATAGAGAATTTGTATTCACAAATCACAAACTAGGCAGTGTGTACTGTAATATCAATCCAATCAAGGGTAATAATTTGCAGATATTTTACATGCCACATGTAGAATGCATGTAGAAGTACGGAGAGCCTAAATTTAATTTGCTCCTTAATGAGTGCGAAAGAATAAACAGAATGTCAGAACTCAAATATATTATCCATAATAAAAGGAGAAATGAGGATTGGAAATGCTCATATTTGTCAACAGAAAACAATAATTGTTAAGGGGTTCAAGCTTCAAATATTTCCAGCTTTTAATCATAGTAAAAAGGCGGAGGAGTACTGAATCATATTTGTCCAAAAAAGGAACAAAAAGTAAGAAACATAGAAATCCCAAAAAGTGATGATAGAATGGAAGAACACAAATGGCAGCTTGATGTTCATCAGCAAATATCTAGGTTTAATTTTGGGGCGTACGGCAGGTTTTAGCGATCTTGCAGCTTGAAGTTCAATAATAATATCTTTCACTTTGAAACATTTTCCAGCTGAATCATTGAATAATCTCCTTAGTAAGAACTACCAAAGCTGATTGAATAAAAAAGTTTACTTCCTCAAGACTGCTACCATTAACACTTTCTTACCCTTGATATCCTCCGTAGAACTATGAGTGACATACAACTAGATTCTTTTTTTTTCCTAGAGATATTTTAAGCTATTTTCAGTTGATAGAGAAACAAATGGAAATCTTCTATCTCGAGATGAGGTGCAATGCCTTTATTTCTCTTTTCTTCATGACATAAACCCTTCCAAGTTCCTAATGTCATTCTAGAAGAGCAACCCAATTGCAAATATCTAATTGTGACATAACACAGTGTCAGGGATGTCATTGCTATTTCCTATAATAGTTTCCACTTGCCCCCCTCCTGGCACACATTCACACACACAAGCCATGACAATCTTGTCTCATTCTGATTTAGTTTGAGACACATCCTCTGTTTCCTCTACAATCTAACTTAGTACCAATCAGTCAAGCTAAACCAATAGGCCAGATAGCATCTTCAAGAAAACAATTGCTCTACACAATCAATGGAATACAATACTTGAATGTTGGCAAGAAGATACTGAATATTTTACCTGCAATCCCACTGTCTGAGACAACAACACTAACTCATTGTATCCTTTCTGAAACTGAACTGGCAGGAGCACCTTGACCCAATGACCAATCACACTGCCTTAACTTCCACAAGACCGGCATGAATGTTAGGAAATAACAAGATAGTGAGGTATCAAGACTATATAAAGAAGGCAAGCATTATAAGCGGTGCCTAGCATTGAAAACAATAGTTTTTGTTTTCATCAAAGCAGCGGGCAGGAACCTACAAAATTCCATGAAACATCTTTAATTTGCAAGAAAATACTGCATTGAATATTTGTGAAGTTTTTGTGGTAGAATTGATGCAAAAGTAAATCTAACACCCATGGCCATGCAACAATGACCACACAAGCTGGCATCTGTTAACCCTGACAAAAATGCAAATATTTTCACCTTTTGTGCAGTGACCATGTTATGATTGCCAAAAAAAAAAAAAAAAAAAAGCTGCAGCACAACTCCAATAAATCAGGAAAAAAATATCTTAAATGAATTTGATTCTCTTTCCAGCCTATGTTCCACCACTGAATCCCCCTTTTCGTAAATGAAACAAATGATAGTGATTTAAAAATGGGTCAAGTAAGATCAGATTGATAGGCTAAGCATTCTTCCTATATCTCAAATGCACTCTTAACATTTTCTTCAGTAGCAGAAATCTAGTATCCTATTCAATAAGGACAGCTAGGATTTATTGTCAAATCATTTTTTGCTCTTCAAAAACATTTCCTGGTTGAGTTTGCAGAACTTCACCACCAGCATGAAACAACATAGAAATAAAAAAAAGAAAAGAAATTGAGGAAATGAAAGGAAAAAAAGTATTAAAAACACACTCATGGTGATATAGATGGATGTGCTTAAATATGAAAGGTAATATGGGACAATACCTGTTAGCTGGCCATTGATGAATACTCGCAACACATCACGCATACTATCTATTGAAACTGCAGGGATGATTTTATTTTTCTCCCAAAATGCAACGTCATCATCAGAAACATATATTCTGCATTCCACAAGTGCATTTAATTAAGCAGACATTAATTACATGAAAAATATGAAAGTGAACCCGTTAAGTACACAATGTTTTCAATTAACAACTAAGGTGACAGAACTTATGCATTAAAGGTTCATTCATAAAGACTGAGTTCCTTAGCACTCTAAATGTTGATTGAACGCAGCTGAATAACTAGATCATAATTTTGGAAACAAATAGCAGGCAGACAATGCAGCCCAGTTAACAGTAAGATTTCAGCTTGCCAAAACCTCAGTATATGATGTTACTTATATTAGCTGTGCTGGACAGATGAAAGACATTGCTCTATTAAGACTACATTTTATATCACTTATAGTGTACTCTTACATTCCTTTGTTTTCTACAAAGGGTAATACTTTTATGTTCATATTCAAGACAGAATGATGCACCTGGTGGAATACCACAAGTAGTCAGACTCATCCTTTGTCACGTTCAAATGCTCCAATATGCCTTTCACGGTAAAATTTTCCTCACCCCACAGACTAATTGGCTCTTTGGCAGTCAGCCAGGATGTTGGCTTTGAAGAACCTTCATTCTTAACAATGAATTGTGTAGGTACAGAACTATTTGAAAAAAGAGGTAAATCAAACTCTACAGTCTTGATATGAGTCTGTGCTGCAACCTGATTTTATGGGGAAAAGGGCAAGAATTAGAAGAGGAAATAGCTTCAAATTTTCACCAGGAATCTTTGTCTGAAAAAAATAATGGTAAGAAACCTAAAATCTCATAAAGTTGAGTTATATATAATCTTCTTCACAATATGTAGAAATGGATGTCAGGCCAGGGTTTTCACAATAATAAATATAGACAGAATTTCTGTGTTTTTAGAGGGGGTGGGGGTAGGGAGTGATTTTTCATTTTGCAATTTTTTTGTGAAACTTTGTAGAAAAGGTATGACAATATGTTTTATCAATGGCATTCCTTTGCATCAATCATTCAGATCAAATTTATGAGGAAGGAATACAATCTTCTGGTTTCTTGTTAGCATGATGAGACTTCAGCATGGAAATGTACAACTTACGTAAAAACACAAACATGCCCAAGCATAGGAAAAATACAGATGTGAAGTTATAGGACTAGTGCATTAAAATTGCTGGCTTATATATTAAAAGCAAATAAAAGCAAAATACAGTTACAAGTGTGCACACTGTCAATGGAATCATTCTCATTTATTATTCTTTCCTTATTATCATATTATCATTAATTAGGAGAATATGCTAAGTAAGGAATGTGTAGAAAACCCCTTGATTTCTGCTCTAGGATCTTCATTTGATAGTGTATATTTTCTGCTATAATTAGGTCCTAAGTTGTAGGGATTTGATGTACTCTTACTATCTATATATTGTAAATCTGTCAAGAGAGAAATACAGAAAACTTTTCAGAAAAGCTCTTTAAATTGTTTCACACAAGAGTGAATCATATGCATCTTTTTTTATTGGAAAAAAAATGTAAATGTATAGTTATATTAGAAATTATAAAAATGAATATTTACATTTTTTAAATTATTTTCAATTTTAAATATATCAATTTCTAAATAATTTTATACATAAAAATAGATAGCATAAGAGACAAGATATAATCTATAAATTTTGACTTTATTTATCTATATTTTTATTTTCAATATTTTTTATTTGAGAATCATTCCTATCATGCTCTCATATGTTCTTCTTCTTTTTTCTTTTTTCATGTTCAGAATCAATTAGAAATCAAGTGCCTAATTTTCAAAATGCATATGATATCCTAAATATTAGAACCAAACCTTGGCAGTGTTGAAGACAGCATTCCTACAGTCCGGTAATATACTCACTGACCATGGCGGTAAAGTAAATGATTGACCAAGAAAGCTCACAGTAGCAGTTTTACGTTCATCTATATTAGCAAGAAATGCAGAGCACTTGCTTTGACTTCCATACTGAGAGAAATTCATGCCTTCAATGTCAACTCTTCCATGGTACACATGTGCCTGAAAATATTTATCTGAGCAATGACGCTCAAAAAGGCAGACCAGAACAAAACAAGTAAAAGTGCCATAATAGTAGACAGGTACAGTGCACACCAAATCACATGCAAAATGGGAAAATGCTGAAAGTTCCTCATTCAAAGAAAAGAATGATTCGGTACCTTGTCCTTGGCAGCTCTATTTACCCAGATACATCGAGCTTCAATTAGTTGGCATGAATACATAAAGAGTTTACAATATCTAACACAAAGTGTAAATTTTTGAATAATATACAAATCAAATTCCTTCTTCTGAAAAGCATTTTCTTTATGTTAACATGAATTTGGAATCAGCCAATGCTGGGATTTCTGTAGGATGACTGTGTTTCAAACCCTGTCCTCATGCAAATTCATGTGATGCAGCCCTTAAAAAAAAATAGAAGCATTTACTGTCCATGGGACATCCACATATCCATGAGAGTTCTCAGGGTAAACTACATCCATCCCCAGGTGTAGGTTAAGCCTAGGATTTTTCGTCTTCTAAGAAATTATACTGGCTTGAACATATTAGGGCAGGTACTAGCAGGATTACTGTTAGAAATGATGATGCTGTTTTCATAGGGATCTCCAGGATCAGGTCTAGCAATGGTGAAGCTGATACCTGATTTCCAATGCACCTTCCACATTTAGTAACATAGACGAGGTAGATATTAGGGTTGAAGACAGAAATGAGAATAACATCCACCAGACAACTCTGATATACAGGAGAATCCTGTATTTAAGCTTTGGAAAACAATCCTAAATGATGAAAAATCATTAGGGCTGAAGACCACAATGAGAATAACATCCACCAGACAATTCTGACACAAAGAAGAATCCGGTATATAGGCTTCAGAAAAAGATTCTAAATAATGAAATATCAACTCCCTTTTGTAGAAAGAGAAAGTGTTTTAAGAAGGTTTACTGTATGATAAAAATATTAGATGGGATATGTTTAAGAAAACTGTTAAAAGGGATAATCTAGACTAGAGTAATTTATGGTGTAAATGTAGAAAGTTTTTGTCCGTTACCTAAGTTAGGGAAATCTGTCCCTTTGCTATATATGTAGGCTGTAATTCCTTATATTATTCAATACAACTATTATTTCTTCCATAACATTCCACAAAGACTCACTGATGCCACAAATAACTCCATCCATTTATTTGTCAATTTATTAATTTCAGAATTTTGTAACTATTTAGAAATTTTTGTGTTACTAAGAATTTAGCCTATCCCTTTTGAATCCTTTTCTTTCAATCTTTTCCTTTATTCTACACATCAATCACACAGTCAAATAAAGGTAGTTACGGAGATACCAGATGAATAAGGAAATTTTTTTCTCTCCAACTTTCTCAATTAGTGGACATTGAAACCAATACCCTCAACTTACTGCAATTGTGGGCATCAGAAGTTGCAAACTAAAGGAGCTCCATCACTTATGCCATAACAAGACATATATCTTTGTTTATTTAAGTTGCTCAGAAATGGTGTGATCATATAAATCCCTGGAAACAACCTAAAAAATATTCATGTGGGTAAAAGCCAAGAAAATACAACACAAACCTCCTGTTGTGGTCCCAGTTTTATATACTGAGCTGAATCTGCAGCAACAAGAGCAGGTTCACAAAGCTTTATAGAAGCATGCAAATCTTTCAAATGCCCCCACTTGGGCTCGCTCAACAGACCTAGCATAAGAAGAGCAATATTGATTCATAAATTTAGCTGTGGTAAGAAGATTCGTGTATGAATAAATATATATATATTATAGTATGCATATTGGATTTATTGGCAACTAAAGCAAGTTTCTTAGAAAATGAATGCCTATAAGTAATTCAGTTTTCTGAATCTACTTTCACGTACCATATTCATCAATTGGAGCATCATAATCATAACTAGTTATATAGAATGGGCCCCCAGAAGTCCGGCCGAAGTTTGTTCCACCAAAATACTGCAGTCATGCAGGAAGCTTGTCAAGAAGCAGCAGTTGCACATCAATGGGACCCACTGATTCTCAAATCTTTTAACCTAAAGATATGCTTGATGTCCAACCAGATTGGTATTATTGAAGAAAATATGGAAATCAATGGTTAATAATCATTGCTAGGAAAGGAGTCTTAGATCATAGATAGCCCTTTACCGATGCTTTGGCAGTTCACAACTTCTCAGTCACTCCCACTCAAATATCTTTTCAGACCTACTGCAAAAGGAATTCATTTTGGGCCCAAAATGAATTCCTTTTGCAGTAGGTCTGAAAAGATATTTGAGTGGGGGCCCAAAATGAAAATTTTCCAACAAATTGCATTGCACAATGGGTCCTCATAGCATGTTTTACAGACTTTTAATTTTCCATGAATGTTTTGGTAAGTCTAAATCAGCAGTCATTTCAGTAATTTATTGTACCATATAATAATTCTGGAAGCTCCCTCCACGTTGAAAAAAGCGTGCAACAGCGAAGGCAAGGTCTTCAACAGGCCTGTGAGGCAATCTTCCACCCCAAGTCGCGTACCTAGAAAAAACAACCTAAATGATTAACCCTACCCATAAACTTCTAGCAGAATGCATCCAGGTAGTGAAGCCGGAAAAAATTAATGGGTTATGAAATGAAAACACTTTGAATTAGTAAAGATATGAAACACAAACTTTCACAAGTTTTCTCTACAAGCACATTATAGACTACAATTTGACCCACACGCTAACAGACAGCTGTTTTGTGAGGTTTGGTTGTGATGAAAAACAGCTTTCATCAAATATGATCTAACCCATAAATTCAGCATGCCAAAAAAAAAAAAAAAAAAAAAAAAACTAAAGAAGGAAGAACACAAAAATTTTACTTGGCTGTTATTTTCATAGTCAAGAACTCTACTCTTTATAAGAATATAAGCTCAGAAGCCCAGAAAGACATTACAAGACCCATTTATACACAAGTGTAAATAAATATTTCACTTCAGCAAAGGTTGGCCTTCCATTTTTCATCAGGTAGCACTGATCTGTGTCTTTGTATTATTTCTCTGACCATAGGTTTTAGCAAGTGTATATTGCACAACTCATCAGACTCCTTCGATATTTGATTCTAATTTTACATGTCATGATATTTAAAAATAATATCTATCTGTTTTGAAATTTTCAAGACATATAAACCATCTTTCAAGCCAAGAACACGCAGAAAATATGATAAAAAAAAAAAATTAATTTCCATATTGTGCTAAGAAGAATCATCATAAGGCATTGCCATACCATCCATCCCAATCCTCCGTCCAAAATATTGGTTTCTTGGGGGAATTTGGCTTAAAACCATCACAATAGTATCCATTGCAAGCATCTATCTGTGTAAAAGTAACCAAAATATAAGATGACTGGCAATTAACAATCCAAAGTCTCTAAGCCATTAGCAAGTCTCAAAATGGATAAACCAGTTGGTTTCAATAAGTTCAAATTTTCCTTTTATTGTTCCTTGCAAACAAGCTTGAGCATTATTTTATCACTAAAAAAGTCAGTTTAAAGAAATTTAAGGGCATAACATTCCCTAGGTGATGAGACCTTACAATGTTTTCTGGAGCATCAGTTTGCTTGCACATCACCCATGGAACCCCAGCGTCAAGTGCTAAAGCCATTCCCGCAGCCCATTTCATGTATTCCTTCCCTCCGTGGCCAAATGAGTGCTCGATATTTTCATATTCATTTTCAATCTGTCAAAATTTCTTTCTAGTTATCACATGTTCAGTAAAAAATACAATAGTTTTTGGGTGCATTGAATTGAGCAGGAACTGAAGTTAAAATTATTGTCCCAAATCACCAGACTTTATCATGTCTGCTGGAATTTGTCACAAAGGCCACACGTATGTAGTTTGGACATCATACTGGAAATAATAGCCTTAAGAGGCTGCCTGCCACTGGCCGCCCACCCACCCACACCCCCAAAACCTCAAATCCCAAAATCCCTCTGTCCTCGCACTCATGCCATGAGTTTCCCACAGCATCTGAGAATGCAAGTACCACCCACTAGCAGGAAAGAGATGTCACCTCTTTAGGCAATGTCCGTTAATCATGTCAGATTCTTCATCTCAATGAGATACAAGAAATGCAAGAATCAAACAGACTGAGAACAATTCCAATCCCCCTCCGTAATTCTTGTAGTCAAAATAAATCCATAGACCTTCTCAAACATAGGATAACAGTACTCTAAAAGCTAAACAGATTGGACATCGAAACTCAAAATTGTCTACAACCTGCAACATGATGATTGGCCCGCCTTGCCAACAAAATAGCATTTCCTCTCGCATCAGATCCACTATCTTTGTAACAAACTTCTGCATCTCTTCCTGTAAAAGAGAAAGGTATCATTAGCATGTTATGCTAACCTCTATCATATGAGATTTGTGACTCAATTTCAACAAGTTGACCGTTAGTTTGAGGATATTAAATACATCTGCCATTTAACAAGATCCTTTCACCAAGTTGTGACAAATGTGACCCAAAGAACTAGTCCAAAAACATAATAATAACTTCCCTTCAAGGGTATTAGGTAGAGGTTAGATAAATAACAAAAAGATAACCAAAAATTAGTTAAAGCTTTAGAAAGAATGGTTTGGCTGCAAAAGTAGATGCCTCAAAGATTAGATCAGTAAAGAGGGAGACAGCAGAAGGTAAAGGAATTATTGGAATACCTGGTGTTGCAGGAGTTAAAAGGCACGGACATGGGTAAAGGCACAATGCTTAACATAAAAGGGAAAAAAAATGGAAGGAAAGAACAGGGTGAAAATAGAAGGCTTTCCCTGCATCACTTTAAGAATGAAAAGGACAACTTGCACAGGTAGTACATGGCGATATAATCAAGTTTGCCAATATTTTCCAAGAGTCTGCCAAATATGTATTACCCCCAGGAGATCGTAAATGCTCAAAACATGACAGAGAAAGGATACCTTTTATGCAAGTTTAACATCTATGATATCTCACATTCAGTTCAAAAGAAGTAACATAAATCCGCAGTGTCAATGCTCATAGTTGCATTGTACCTTAAAAGGAGTATTATCTGTTCTAAATACTATGCCAGGAACATCACGCAACCACACTGGGAAGCCCCTGCAATATGTTTGTCAAAATAACATCATAAAACTATTTAAGTTTTAAACAAAAATGAGAATCCTTAGTATTACTTTACTATTCTACCCAATAACATTATGCCCTGATCAACAGTTGCTTTTCTTTAGAGCCATTACTGTTCCACATTAGCTTAAAACTTCATCTCTCCACTGCCGCATTTGGCAGAGACAATTAAAGTTTGCATTTCTTAAGTTTATACGGACAATATACATACGCCATTTTCTATTACAAAATCATTCTTATTTTTTTTAAATAGCCTCTTCAATCTTTTCTTGACAGTAACGATAAATTCATTTATGATGAGCATGCGATAACCACATGATTCTTTCTTAAGATTGAAAAGTAAAGCACCATACCATAGATGGACTTAAATGAAGAATTTAAACAAGTTTCAACAATTTTTCTTTAATTTCATCTGATTGTTCAGCAATATCCTTTTTTCACCCTTCAGAGCTTTTCCTGTGTTGAAAATTGAGCAGGCCACTGCTACTTTGAATCAAGGGTTGTCTTGTATTGAGTCAAGGGGATGTGCAAGCCATCTATCAATTGTTTGTTACTTCATTTACTAATAACTATCTTAGTTTTCTTATTCTTCTTTTCTTTCTTTTTTTCCTTTTTCTTGTTCTAACAAGAGGTCAACTTTTTCTATCTGACATGCATCAGCATCATGCAGTACACTACCTTCAATGCTTAGATATCAAACTTATTAGTATGATGAATCAATTCAATGATTTCACATTGAAGAGTGGCAAAACAAGTCTGCGTGCTAAAAAACGCAAGTACGCATTTTAAGTTTTTAACTACAGTTCCGCAAGTATGCAAAATCTTATCTGCAAAGCATCTAGCAGACTATGCAATTTGAGAAAGAATAAACCAGTCAGCTACATAAGTATATAAATCATGCAGCATGATAACAAAGGGGCAAAAAACAAAGCTTTCAAATTTAAAAACAGAAAAGAAAGGCGAGACCCGAAATTCCACTCAGCGCAAACATAAGGACCTATCCGAAGATGAAGATAGAGTCCACTTTCTCCCACTAGCTTCACAAACTTTACAAGATCATATCTTCCCTCAAAGTAATACTAACCAAGAAAATAAAACAGATCGCAAACTTTTAGTATCAACTTTAAATGTACAAAGCAACAACTTCAACAACAATGATGCAAAGCTAAAAATGACCAGACAGACCTGTCCTCTAACTGGCTCGTGGCCGCCCCAAAATACATAAGTTTGAACCACATCTGCTCCACCTTCCTTACTTTTTGCAATCAAATCAGGCCACATCTGACATTGCGAGAAAAAAGCACGGTATAATAATCCGATAACTCAAATTGCTGCTGGATAAGTAAAGATGAAATATCCACTAAGCAAGAACAAATTGATTAATACAAAACTAACATAAGCACGCACGCGTGATCCCACATTTGTTTATCAGATTCTCCTGTTACCCGCATAGCAAGGAAAAAAAAGAAGAAAAAATAACCTTTCTTCTTCAACATTACAATAAAAATTGTCAAATGCTCTAATAATATTACTTTTTCAGTCTAAAAATTTAGATCAATTGGCATCAGAACAGCCTTTAAAAAAAAAAACCATCTTATTAAAGTATAATTAAAAATTAAAAAATTAACCTTATACAAACACAAATTTCTGAAGCAAGATAATAAAAGAGACGAGATATTTTAGTTTATAGTGTACCTCAGGAGTTGCGCGAGGGTAATGGATTCCGGCGGAGATGAGCATGCGACGGTGGCCGTCAATGATGAGAGCACGGTTATCATAAGTAACATTGAAGGGTTCAAAAAAATTGGAAGATATGAGTGTGAATTGGATGATTAGAAGGAAAGAGTAAAATAGAAGAGAAGGCATTCGAAGTGTTGAAGATATCATTTTTCTTGAGGGAATCAGATAGAGAGAGAGAGAGAGAGAGCGATGTGCAGTGGGCTATAAGGAGTTGAAAAATGGAGTGTAGTGCAAAGGAAGGAGAGGGATGAGCTTTGGAGTGTGGATTAAGGTAACCCGTTGGTACGGACCAACTAACGATCAAAACGGGCATAAAACATGGGGACAGTTTATCCATATCTAAATATCTCGCTAGTTTCCCGGTTATCGTTAAAAAAAAAACTTTAGTATTTCATTAGACTGCATCATAAAACATAAATAATAATTATTACAAATTTATATTGAATTAAATAAATAATTTTTTTATTTAATATTGATAAGAATATTGAGTTTTGAAAAAATATAAATTGAATTTTTATATATTTATTTATAAAAGAATAAAAAATATTAAAAAAAACTATATTAATTTGAATCATTGAGTGATTAAACCAAAACATTATTTTAATTATTTAATTTAAAAATAAATAAATAAATAGTAAATGCTTAGTGTAGAAAATAATATTATTATAATTTTTTAATCAAAAAATTTGTATTTAACTATTTTTTATTTGTGTTTTTTCATAATTTTTCCTTTAGAAAAAAGATTTATCCTTGTTAATTCATGAATTATTAACTAAAAAGAAAAATAATTTTTTTTAAAAAAATAGTATTTCATAAGATTGCATCGAAAAACATGAATAACAATTATTAAAAACTTACATAGAATTGAACAAATAATTTTTTTATTTAATGTTGATAAGAATATTGATTTTTGAAAAAAATATAAATTTAATTTTTATACATTTATTTACAAAAGAATGAATAATATTAAAATAAAAAAAATTATATTAATTTGAATCATTGAGTAGTTAAGCCAAAACATTATTTTAATTATTTAATTCAAAAATAAATAAATAAATAGTAAATGCTTAGTGAAGAAAAATAATAATATTATAATATGATCATAATATTAATAACATATGACTATATTGAAAAATGATAAATTAAAGTAGTAAATTATAAATAATAAAAATAATTAAAAAAATTAAAACAAAATGGGATTAAGTAACAATACGAGTTAAAGTTTAAAATTAAAAAAAAAGGTATAGAAAAATTGAGGACCAAAGTGTTAAAAAATTGACATGAATAGTGAAAGGAATGATGATTTGTGAGTGTATAAATAGTGTTTCAAATAGTGAGAATTAATAGGTAAATCATGTTTTACTTTAGTTTGTTTTATAATGCATTGATTTATTGGTTTTTTAAAAGATTTCATGCATTGATTTATTTGATATAAACAATGGAATGGAAGCTTAAAATACTAATTGTGTTATCGTACTTTAGATTCATGCATTAATTTATTCGTTTTTAAAGATTTTATGTATTGATTTATTGGATACAAAACATAGAATGAAAGTTTAAAATGCTAATTTTGTTATCAATTAGTATTAAAAATTTCAAGGTTTAAAATACTAAAAACATTACATGTGCATAGCTATCGTCGGTAAAAAAGAAAAAAGAATATATTGAAAGACAAAGAATTTTTTATACTATTTGAATAACAACTAAATTTTACAATTACATGATACTTGTAATTGACAAATTGTTTAGCATCTATTGTTATATATAATTTTTATATAATTGTGAACAAAAACGCCATATTAAATATATGCATTTCAATATACGTTCTTTATTGCGATTCCAATCACGTTAGTTTTAGAACTAATAAACCAATAGAAAAGTAATTAAGAACCTCGATGGCATCGTTTGATTGAAAAATCTTGAAAGAGATGGAATGCAATACAAGCTTAAATCGATCTAAATTTCTAGTAATTAAAGTGAAAAATGCTTTTATAAACTGCATAGCTAAAAATAAAAGACAATGCAAAAATAAAATGAGAAAATGAAAGAAAACTGAAAATTGAAAGCAATTAACATTTAAAAGTTGAAAATGATCCTCTAAGTTACAATAGAAGTGTCCAAACTAAAAATATCTTTTATTGAATTGAATGAGCAATAAAATATCAACAACTTAAAAGATAAAAATTAAGATTGCCACCTATCATGTGATTATTGGAAACAACAACCATCAATATAGAGAAAAAAAACATAAATATAGAATATTATCTATCATTTAAAGTAAATAAATCCTAAATCTAAATCGGTGTCAAATTTTTTATATTTAAATCTTTTTATGTTTTAAAATATTATTTTTATCATGAACACTATTAATATTAATTTTGAATTGAATTATTGTCAAATTAAATTAAAATATATTCATATTTGATTTATTTGATAAACGAGTTAATGAATTTAAATCGTAATCAAACTCGCATGATAAAAATTATATTCTATAGTTATTAAATTACATTAAAAACAATCATATTCAGATTCAACCTATTGACACTTATAGTTACAACTGAAATGCCCAAACTAAAAATATTTTTTATTCAATTGAATGAGCAATAAAATATCAACAACTTAAAAAGATACAAATTAAGATTGCAACCTAACCAAAGGCCCAACACATCATTACAAAGGCCAATTTATTCGCCAAATTTTGAATTTCTTTTTCAAAACGTTTCTTTTCCTTAAAAACAAAACCACTACCAAACCCCTCCCTCAACGGCACGGCAGAGCCTCAAGCGGGAGTGTAGTAGTTTTTTAGAGAGAGAAACAAAAAAATGGAAATCACTCCCTCAGTAACAGAAGAAGAACCTCTCAATCTAAACGCAATTCGCAGGTCTCTCTCCTCTCTCTTTCTCTCTCTATATACATATTTTATGCGTATATAAATTCAAATTTTTTTTTTTAATTTCGTATTTTTTCAGTCGAATAAGCGAACTTGAAGAAATCTACAGAAATTCCAACGAAGATAGTTTCTCCGAAATGCCCTCTTATGATTCTGATGAATTAATGAAAGATTCCGCTCATCAACTCGTGGTAATTTTGTAACTCTCTCCCCTTATCAGTCCAATTCTGTTTACTGAAATGAATTGTTTTTTTTTCTTTCTTTATGCAGGTATTTCTTTTTTCTTTTTTTAATTTGTTGTTTGAAATGTGATTTTTTTTCCTCATACAGAGTAAAGTGGATCAAATGTTAACTGACTACTCTGATTTCAGTTTCTTGGGCATTGAAGATTTAGGTAATTCTCGATTTCTCTTTGTATTTTTATTTACTCATTTTTTTAGGAATCGTGCTGCATTTTAATGTTTCGAGAAATTAAGTGAACCGGCAGTGACACTGAAGGAAGAAAGCAATTATTGTTTTCCGGGTGTGTTTGTTTGGTTTTTAACTAGTAAATTTGTTGTTGTAGATTCGTACTTAGCACACTTGAAAGAGGAGCTTAATGAGGCGGAGGCTGAGAGTGCAAAGATCTCTAATGAAATTGAGTTTCTCAATAGAACATACAGGGAAGGTAAAACTAGATGATATACGATGTATTTATGTTTTGAAAGACATTTATAAAATATGAAAGAAATTGAGGTTCTTTGTAAATTTTGCAGATTCTAGTGAACTAGAGAGTGATCTTGAATGGATGAAGTGTTCGTTGGATTTAATTTCTGCACAGCAGGTTGGTTATCCATTCAAAAGAATTTTGAAATTTGGATCTAGATTTTTTTTTTTTTTTTTTTTTTTTTTTTTTAAATTTGGCATAGGGATATGGAGTATAGGTTCGTGCCTGATTAATGGAAATGATAGCACTTTACAGGTTCTTAGGATAAAGTTCGTGTTGAATTGATTTAAGTGGAGACGATTTGATGCTATACTAGTGCTTGTTGCTAAATAAGTAACTTTTATTGTTATGTTCTTTGTGTTGTTCATGGCAAAAGGATTTGCTGATAATAACGGTGTGGATTGTATACTTAGGCTTAATTTCATGACTATGGTTACTGCAAAATGTTTGATGATATAAAAATTTTCAGTGATAAAAAGGATCTTCCTCCTAGGACTAATTGTAGTGTACGTATTGTCTGGTGAATAAATAAAGTGGTCTTCCTTATTCTGTGGTTTTTTCTGTTTCTTTCTTTGAATAGATAGTTTGGACTTTTGTGGAAATTAATAAATATTATGGATAAAAAAAAGTGAAATTGGATCTAAGACTAAAGAGAAAAGGACAAAAATTCACTGCAACACTGATTGTGTGAGTGAAACATTATTCTTGATGGTGTTAAACAAGTTTCTTGAGCAACAGTTTTGCTGTGTAATTCCATGTCTTTGATTACTGCACTTTCAGATTATCCAAAGCTCTACTCACAACACTTATCATCTCATTTTTATGCACCTTTTGGTAGGATATAGAGGAAGAAAAAGAAGGGACACAGATGGAGCGCCTTTCAAGTGGAGACAATCAATCAATTTTGATAAACACACATGAAGAAGACAAGTTTGAGGTATTGATAACTTGATTCTTAAGTTTATCCTTGTTTGCAACTTGACAATTATTGTAGCTGAAACACATGGACAGACCCATAACATTTGTGTAATTTTCTTGAAGTTTTGAAATTTTAAGGCATTTCTAAGCTATGAAGTTCTGAAAACATATCAACTGGTTTCTGTATCTTGCCTGATTGAGTTATCGCTGGGAATGATGTTTGCATTCATCCTATTATATTGCAGTTAAGAGTTTCAGTGGTGATGCACCTTAAAACTTTAGAGTACAATACCAGTCCTGTCTGTTTCACTCACCAATTAACTGATTTTTTTTTTCATGAATTCTCTTACTTGAGCAACCATTCATTGATAGCAGTTCATGGGAGTGTCTGCTTGTGTTTCAGATTTTGAAGCTTGATAATCAGATCGAGAAAAGCAAAAAAATTTTGAAGTCCATGGAGGATCTTGATTCTGTATTCAAAAGGTAACTCTGTCGGTTTAGGCTTTACTTATTTGCTTGGATTTTCTTCTGCATTTGTCATTTGTATGCTTCTCTTTTCATTGTTTTCAGATTTGATGCCATAGAACGAATTGAAGATGTATTGTCGGGTCTGAAAGTCATTGAAATTGATGGAACCTGCATTAGATTGTCGATGCGGACCTATATTCCAAAACAAGAAGATTTATTGTGCCAACAAAAGTTTGAAGAAACTAGTGAGCCATCCGAAGTAAACCATGAATTCCTCATTGAAGTTACTGATGAAAGTATGGAGATTAAGAAAGCTGAGGTATGAGTAACTATAATCTCTCCAAAATTATGAATTGTCTTTCCTTATTCTTCCTATGCATCTTGTTTTCCGAGGAAGGAAAATGAAAAGAATCTTGGATAAACATTGATGGTAAAAGTTTCGTATTATTCCAATATACACTGAATGATATGTGGTGACCTAACGGCTTGGTTTAGGAAATCCTGTCACCATAAGTGAGATCATGCTAAATTAGAAATGATCTGCAATGGGTTCTTTTTTAGTTATGAAACATTTAACAGTGGCCTCACTGGGTTGCCCAAATGGTTTTTGGGTATTATGTGGTCTACAATGTTTGTGAGGCTCACTGTCAATACTTACTGTGACATGTAATTGCTAGGTAATTTAGGGTTTTCCTGGGCATCTAATGACTTATTTGTATGCTTTTTTGCTTGCACAATCAATTCAGTAAAAATGTTTCAGCAAATAGTAACATTTGAATTTCATATGTGTTCTTTGTAACAAGTAGATCCAATTACAGAATAATAGAAAATAGCAAAAGATGGAAGATTTGAACTGCATTTGATTGTATGATATTCATTCAAGGCTATATCATTCTTATTGTTGATTTCAGCCCTCTTGCTCTCAAATTTTCATTTTGGCATCCAAACTCATTAAATGTCATGTGCTTGGGCAAGAGAAGAATGGCCAAGATATTCCCTGTTTTGTATTTGCCAAAAGTTACTTTAGTTTCCTCCACATTCTCCTCAAGTATTACACTTTTAGGATTCTGTTTACCTTTTTTTGTTAACTTTTGTTTCTTTTAGCTACCATATTCTGGCTTTTGGATAAGTTTGACGTGACATGAGTTGGAGTGATAGAACTGAAATTAGAGGTTAGATGAAATGCATCCTGTATCTGAGTTTTTGAACTAGACAGAAGGTTGACCATACCAGTTGCACGTCTGCCACTAAAATATAAATGTGCAATCCACATAGAAGTTGATATGCTGAGATAATACGTGGACAAAATTATTTTGATTGGAAAGTACACTAATCTTTTTTGGTAGTCTATTTAAAATATTAAACTTACAGTTTAACTTCATATAACTTAATCTGAACTGAGCAAAGAATAAATTTGAGATATGTAATTTAATGAAATTTGGAAGTGAGTTAAGGCTAATAGGCATGGGCAAAAAATCCGAATGTCTCCCTTGTAAAGAATGCTTAGAAGCTGAGCATGGATTTTCATGTTCTTCTAAATGCTGTGTGGCACTCTGGCATTAGGCTTGCTCCTTTCAAGTACCTGCTACCATGCCATCTTGATTTTCATCAGTTGATCAATCATTGATCTTATGATGCTCTTCTTAACTTATAGTTTCCATGCAGATGTTTCCAAATGACATATATATAGGAGACATTGTTGATGCTGCAAAGTCTTTCAGGTTTGTAATGTTGGGTATTTCTCCCTTTTTCACGTCAAAGTTTTCTTTCTTCTTCCTTTTTCCCCTTTTGATGCTGATTACATATTTTTGGAAGATGGAGTGAAGATTTCTTATCCATCTTGCCTTAAACATGACATGTTACTTGAGGGACAAACTTACAGAGTCTTCTATGAGAATATTTTTGTGTTATTTGCTGTAAAAATTTCCTTGAGGTTCATTGAAACGCAGTCTCTTGCAATGTGGCAGGCAAATATTTTTGCAATTGGAACTGATGGAGACAAGCTCTTCACTAGAGTGGTTTGTAAGAAAAGCACAAGATAGAATTATCCAATGTACCTTGAGACGATTAGTGGCAAAGAGTGCAAGTACGTCTAGGTGAGAGTGCTATGCTTGAGCAAAAGTTACTAGAACTAGACGTTCTGAAATAATCTCAGATGTACGAATGAATTCTTCTAAGCATTTGCATGTTTAGACTAATTTAGCTTGTAATGCAGGCAATCCATTGAATACTTGGACAAAGATGAAATAATAGTAGCTCATTTGGTTGGGGGTGTTGATGCTTTTATGAAAGTTTCTCATGGTTGGCCCATAACAAATTTCCCATTGAAATTGGTATCTCTCAAGAGCTCAAATCACCATTCAAAGGAAATTTCGTTGGCCTTTCTCTGCAAGGTTGAGGTGAGCATTTTTGTCTTCTTCCTCTTTCTTCCTTTTTTGGAGTAGATTATAAATTAGTCCCTCTTGTTTCGAGAAACAAATTAATTAGTCTCCCTCGTTCTAAAAACTAATCATTTAGTTCTCATGTTTTTAAATGTATTTGTAACTTAGTCATTTTTGCTTTTTTCAATTTATTTTAATTTTTTGTTTCAAAAAATGGAAAAAGGAAAAAACTATGGAAAGATTGATGAGAAAAGAAGACATTTCATGAAATAAAAATAATATTAAATTAAGCAAGATCAACACATGTCAAAGGACTAAATAATAGTTTTTAAAATGAAAGGGACTAAATAATTCGTTTCTCGAAATGAGATGGACTAATTTATAATTTAATCTTTTTTTGGGATGAAAGAGGTGAGCACATATATATATATATATATATATAATTGGGATGAAATAAAATGGTCTTGTATGTTCAGAAGTTTTGATATCTGTATTTTTTCCCACAGTCGATCAGTTTTTACATTCCTGCCTACATCTTGTCATGCTTTCTTGTTCGTTTTCTTCACTCTGGTCAGTTTTGCTGCACTAACTAGTTTGTGTACGATTTCTTAAATCCTTTTTTTAGTTTGTCTTTCATAGCAATTAGAATATAGTTGTGTTTCTAATTGCAAATTTGATTGAAGATCTATCTATACATGAGACTCGTCATCGTATTAGTAGACTATTGATGAGTGCTTTTAATCACGGTGATGATGATGCTGTTGTAAAAATAATCTTTGAAAGGGTTAGGTTAGTTTGAACATATTGGCTGCAAGTATTCAACAAGGTAAATGTCAATGTATATTCATTCATTGGGTTTTCCTTTGGCTGTGTAATTTTCAATTCATAGGAAGTGGCGAACTCCTTGGATGTACAGACGCGGCAGAACTTGTCAAGCTTTGTAGATGCTGTTGAAAAAATTCTTGTGGAACAAATGCGCTTAGCACTGCATTCTGATGGTGCTTCCAGCATATGACCACCACGGCACTCGTTGGAGACCTAATATAATACATGGAATCGTGTGTTTGCACAGATATATAACTTGAAGTCGTAGATATGTTTGAAGTGTGTTATGTCTCTTCAGAAATCATTAATCTTGTCATTTCTTGTTTTTAAGGCTCTCTCTGTGTCACGTCTGATTTTGTAGTCTCAAGTGTTCGTGGGTAATGGTAACAACACTCGTTGCTACTTTTATTCACAGTAACATGGTTTTAAATAATAATCGTTACGTAATTTTTTGAGCACTCCGTTACTGTTATTTGCCGTTATAGGGTTTCCATTGTCATTTTACACAAATATCGACGAATAGCAGTGTTATTGTTATATAACGTTGTTTTATAAATGTTGTTATTTGCTGTTATATAACAGCATTATATTTATTTATTTTTTTTGTTTTTTTTTTCAAAAATCTGAATCTATTATATATTCTTTCAAATGTTATTAACGTGAAATCTTACAACTTGATTTTTTTTTCTAGTAATAAATTTAACTATTGTATAATATTAAACTAATAGAGATATTATTATGCTTAATTAGTAAAACTATTAAAATATGTGAATTAAAATAAATTTATTAATAGTTATAAATGTATTTATAACATTAGTTGTGGTTCTTGTGATTGTTATTTTACTACTAGGATAATCAACATAATGGAAATATAATTTATGAAAACAATGTTTCGCCTTTTTCTCAAGCAAGAGTAAGAACGGAGAAGCATGTGTAAAATAACACCAAAAGTATCAATCTAAGATTCTGGCTGTATAATTTATAATGAAACTAAAATGATATGGGTTTTTAGCTACAGAAAATGGCTCAAAGCCATGTGTTTTTTCCTTTCCTTTCCTTTCTTTTTTTTTTTTTGTTTTTTTTTTCAAATATCAATTGGTTTTGGTCATTGGTATTTGATTTCTTACAAATATGAATTCATTTTGGTCCTTAGCTTGTAGAGAATGCAACCGTTTGCTACTTGATGTTTCTAATCATGAAATCCTTTCTGAAATTGTTTTCGCAACCACAATCCAAAGAGCCCCTTATGTTTCCTTTATTTCTTCCTTAGGCAATCTGATTAGAAATATCACTGATGCAGTTGGTTTTTCCGTGGGGACTTGTTTGAATATGTCCTGTGTTATGCAAACATTTACTTTATGATACTTTCCGGTTTGGCCTTTTCCTTCCAAATGAGAAGGTTAATGATCAAGTGCAAATCTGAATAAAGTTGTCATATACAATCAAATTTTGATAAACTTAGTGAGATCACGAATTGTAAAGATCTGATTTTTACAGCTTCCCACTCAAGAAAGTGATTTAAACCGATGTTAGATCATAATCAATGGATAACTAGCCACAATTATCCTTTAATGGTTCTAGATTTTGGTTGATTAAGCATGATCTATTGTTAATTTAGCCTAGAAAATGATGTACTTAATTTGAATTGATGTAAAAATTGATTCAATAATAACCACTACTTGTAAATATTGAAAAAATAAAAATCATAATATACATGGAAGAAGACTCGTTAACCCGACTAGTAATTAAACCTTTGAAATAGAGTTGTCCAAGTATATAGGAGACAAGTTTAGGCGGTATTGTTATGAAACAGGAAGCAAAAGTCAAGCTTAGGGATGGCAATTTGCCCTCCCCAACGAGGCCCACTCCTCCCCATCCCGATCAACGCGGGGATTCCCCGAGTTGATTGGGGAAACGAGGCGGCGCCGCTCTACCTTTTCCTTTGAAAATTATAATTATACTTAACATATATATAAAATTTAAGGCTACAAACTAGTTTCTAATATAATGAGTAAGTTTTGATAATCTTTAAGCAATAAAGACATGTAAGAATTTATGTTTTTTAATTACATTTGTGATATTTTATCAACTTAATTTAGTATATTATTTATTTAATTGAAAACAATTTAATATATTATGAGTTGTATTGTAAACTTGTAGTTAAATGTGATGTTAAATTATTGTCTTTCTTAATCAAATTTTTTATATGGACTATTATCTTTTTGCTATAGTTTAAAATTTGGGACAAGATAATATGAGGTAGAATGAAGCGAAGCGAGTGCAAAAATTAAGGAGGCACCGGTGCCCCAAGAGGATCCCCATTCCCTACCCCTTGTCAAGACGAGGCGGGGATGGGGCGAGTTTTTCAAAGGTAAGGCCTAAACAAGTCTGTATTTTTAATTAACTTTGCAGGTATTGAAAAGTAAATGACATTTGGATGTAAAGTAAAATAATCTTTATATTGAGATTCTTGTCTCGAAAACATCCCAATGGGACCAAGCTTGTGGATTATAAATGGTTGTTTGAGAGTTCGTGAATTTGTGTGCGGATTGTTAGATAAGTTATTTAGGAGGTGTTTATGTATATTTAGTAGTTTTAGTTTATGTGTCTTATATAAGAACAACATGAAGAAATTAAAAATTGTTTGCAAGGCTATCACCACACGGTTTGTATTACGGTAAACTCTTTAAATAAAATTTTAAAGATAAAGTTACGATTACTGATAAATTAATGAAAGATAAAGTTTCGAGTTACAATAAGTTACATAAATATTGAGTTTCGGTTACGGTAAATTACCGAAATAGCTATAATAAGTTATTTAAATATATACAGTATCTAACTCTTATCTTGATAAATATAATAGCAAATTCTTATCGGTATCATCGTCCTTTAAGCTAAGTTACGGAAAGCATGGTCGGCTTGTTAGTCTAGTGAAAATATCTATGTTTGGACAAAAAATTTGTCATCACATCAACTAATTGATCTTTAGTGGAAATGTAGCGCATAAGTAATTCTTGCTTGTTGACCTTGTTTGAAAGTCAATTTCTAAGTGTTTGGAACGGGCTTGAAACACTAGGTTAGTTGTGACATAGGTTGTTGAAAGATTATCACCCCAAAGTATCGAGGCTTTTTGTAGTGGAAACTTGATTTTATGCAAAAAGGGTTGAAGCCGAGTCACTTCGGATGCTCGTTGTTGCCAAGACTCGATATTCGCATCGGTAGACGAATAGGCCATAGTTTTTTGTTTATAGGAAGTTCAAGAAATAAGATTATTGCAAAAAAAAAAAAAAAAAATACAAAACCCATGGTACTTTTTCTATCAATGAGATCACCTCCCCAATCAACATCTTTGTAAGCCGAGATATTATAAGAAAAAGAGGGAGTAAGAACAAGTTCGTGAGTTCCTCTTAGATAATGAAAAATGCGTTCAACCGAGCACCATTGCTCTGTTGTAGGAGCGTGTATAAATTGAGTAGCACAATTGATGGCAAAAGAGACATTCGATCTTGTGAGTGTAAAGATTTGAAGCCCACTAACAATACTCCAAAACAAGGTTGGATTGTCAAAGACAATGGTGTCTTGAATGGATGAACGAGGACTACATGGTGTGGTCACCCTAGCAAGCATCGTGCATATTTGCTTGTTTTAGAAGATCCCGAATGTACTCGTGATTGGCGGAGATGTGATCCTTCCTTGCTTTTAGTCACCTCTATGCCAAAGAAATAATGCATAGAACCAAAAGCCTTAATAGGGAATTGTTGTTGAAGACTTGATATAATATTCCCGATAAGTCATTGATTATTTTCAATAAGAAGGAGATTATCAACATAGATTAGATAGTAAATAGTATATGTGCTATGACGATAGAACATAAGAGAAGTATCTATTTTGGAACCAACAAAACCTATCCGATAGAGTGTAGATGTGAGGCTTGTATATCACATTCTAGGTGCCTCTTTAAGTCCATAGACGGACCGTTTGAGAACACAAACATGCTCTAGAAGATGTGGCTGAATAAAATCATGTGGTTGTTCCACATACATTAGAGTATCTAATCGCCCATGTATTCTTTTTCTTTGTTTCTTTATTTTGATTTGTAATTAAATTGTCTTAAAATTGCAAAAGACAACAATTAAAAGGGAACGGATGGTTTTCATTGAGGAGGAAAATATTTCTTTAGAGACCTTCTATCCTAAGTGAAAAAATTAAAGAGGTAATTGCCTTCCTTTATTGATAAATAACTTCCATCAAATTAATACAAAAAAGAGTTAGAAAACCTTTTAAATATAAAATCAAGAATACATACATTCCGACAATAATTAATTCATTCAAATTTTATCTACATAATTAAATGGAGAATGGAATGAAGGAGGTAATTGTGTGAAGTTTCTCAATTCATGGGAGATCGATTATATTTTTTTAAATCATAAAATTTAAAGTGAAAAATTTCTTAAACCACAACCTCATCCACTCGCCATTAATTAAATTCGTAATATACCAAATCCAAATCCTATTGAGTAAATTATAAATTAGCCTTTTTATTTTTTTGAAAAAATAAATTGATTAGTCTTTTTTTATTTTGGAAACTAATTATTTAATTGATCCATCAATGTTAACCATGTTTAATTAAATATTATTTTATTTTTCAAAATATCATTTTTCATTGATCCTTTCTTATTGTTCACTTTTTTTTCTTTTTTTATTTATTGAAAAATCAAAATAAATTGAAAAAAATTAAGTTATAAAAAAATTTAAAAGTATAGGGACTAAATAATTAATTTTTAAGATAAGGGGACTAATTAGTTCGTTTTTTAAACTAGAGGAATTAATTTATAATTTACTCCCCGAAAAGCTTAGGCGGGAAAAAAACCTGGTTTTATCAAATAAAGAGGGAAAAACAAAGAGCCAAACAAAACCAAGAAAATCAAAACACACCAAAAAAAAAAAAAAATGAAAGCCAAAAGAGAAACAACAGTAATCGAAATCGAAGACAACGACGAAGACGATGCTTTCCTCTGTCAAGTTGCCAAAGCTGAATCCGAAGCTCTCTCCGCTTCCAACTTCAAACGCCGCAAAATGACCACCGTTGATTTCAACGAAAATCAAGAGAACACCAAAACCACGATGATGATGATGATCAAGGTGAAGGAGGAAAACAACAATGAAGGAGACTACATGGCAGCTTTAAAAGGCAGTAGAAGTGCTTCATGGCAACAACGAATCAAAGCCGTTTCTTCTTCTAAATTTGCCCCTTCTGATTACAAATCAAACAATGCCCGCGGCGGCGGCGGCGGCGGCGGTGGCGTGGATGGTGCCGGTAGCGGTGCGGTGGTTCCTGAGAAGATTTGTCCTTGTGGGTTGGGAGTTTGTAACGTTTTTACTGCTAATACTGACAGGAATCGCGGCCGGGCTTTCTACAAGTGCCCCCAAAGACAGGTACAAATGTATCCTGACCGGCTGACCGTGCTTGTATTACGTTCATGTGCCTTAAAATTGAGGGGTTTCCTTCTCTTTTTTTTTCCTTGTGTTTTTGTGTGTAGGAAAATGGGGGGTGTGGGTATTTTCAATGGTGTGACGAATCTTCAGCGACAAATTATGGTGGTGGATTTGGTGGGGGTGGAAGCCAAGTTTATGTGTCTAATTCTATGTTTCCTGAGCTTCAATGTCCATGTGGAGCTGGGTCTTGCTTGATTTTGACAGCTAAAAAAGGAGAAAATATTGGGAAGCAATTCTATAAATGTCCTGCAAAACAGGTACGTAGCTAGTTTTATTTATACGGAAGATCTTGTGGGTGTTTTTTAAGTTATCTGGTTGTAATATGGAATTGGGATTTGTTTATTTATTGTAACAGTTCATTCTCCATGGTAGTTTCATAACAGAAAGAAGGTCATTGCCGGTGCAAAATGGGAATATTGTATGAACAGCGTATAATTATAATCATCTTGAACTGCTTCATGTCTTGGATTTCTTCTTTACTGTTGTGAGCCTTAGCTGAGAGAGTAATGAAAGACAAGGAAGGTTTAGATGCTAAAGGAGTCTATGATGGAAAAGATATAGGTGAAAGATAACCAAATAAATATTTGCTAATGGTAGATATAAGTAGATATTAAGTTTAGTGGTTGATGTGGCTGCGAATCTTTAGATGCGGTAATAGATAATAGTGGAAAACTTTAAGAACTTCTGATGCTTCATTTGGAAGGCTTAGGTGCCTGCCTTTTCTTTTGCTATTTTGTTAAGAGGTTATTTGTCTTGGGTGTAGATGCTTTTTATGTGCTTTAACATTTGCCGTAAGCCTAAATGGTCAAAACCTCCACTGAGCTTTAGGTCATTTGAGAATCATTCTCTCAATTTCCAATTTTGTGTTGGACCTCCCACCAGTTATTTTCCATTTGAAACCGGGTCCTTCTGTTAGGTTTTTGTAAATTCTAACATACAAGTACAGTTTTCCAACATCTATAAACATGCCAAAACTTATGAATGTTTTGTTTTCTCCTTCAAAACTTGTTTCTTCCTTCCTAAATGCTAAGAAATTAGCAGCGGAAGAAACAAGTTTTAGCGAAAAAAACAAGGCGTCCTTAAGTTTTGAAATTTTTTAGTTTGGAAAGTTGAAAAGTCAACCATGTGCAAGTCATGTGTACTTCCATGGTTAGAATTGATGGAAACCTATTCAAATGATAAATAGTTGGAGGGAGGTCCAAATCGAAATTAAAAGTTGAGAGACTGATCCTCAAATGATTTAAAGTTTAGGAGAGGTTTGGATCATTTTCCCTTGTCGTGATGATGGACTGCTTTACTGTGAATGTGCAGAATAAGCAATGAAGGCATTATTGTTGTAGGCAATGAATGTATGGTTGTGGCTTGTTGGGAAAGATAAATATCAAATTTTTGAAGCTACTGTTATTAGGTTTTATTGTTGAATGGGATTTCTTTTGTGAATATTCATGGTGGTTTCATAGTGAATAGTGAAGTATTTGCAGTGCACAATGTGACCGTTGTTTGTATATCACAAGCTATATGTAAAGTTCTAACTGCATAGGCATTATAACCTCTTCATGTCTCTGCTTTCCCCTTTTACTGCAAAGAAATCTCAAAGCATCCTTTAATTGTCTTTCGTGTTCTTTACCTTTTCTGTTGTAATTCAATGGAAGCAATGGTTCTATACCTTTTTCCCTCGTGAGAAGTGGATTACAGTGCCCGTGGATAAGAGGAAAAGGATACATTAAAGTTGGAGGCAGTGAACTTATGATTGTGACCTGTTGGAAATGTTAAAATTTGATGGGAATTTCAAAGAAGTATATGGGTTAGATAAGAATTATATGGCAGGAACTGTTGCTTGACAATTCTAAGAGCCCAATGACATATTCACAACGGTGACAATCACCTCAACCTTTCATAAAAACTGCAATTGACGTAAATGAAAGTAGTGGAATTTCATTGGCTATGGAATTGTTGACTATTTAGTTTTCTATGGTTTGGGATATTGTTTACTGGACTTCATGTGTGAAATATTTGACAGGGATGGTAGGTGGTGAAAAAGGCACCCCAAGAAGCAGAGCCGCTCTGTTACATTGTAACTTATCTGAATTGTTTATGTACTTGTCTTTCTTTTTGCAATTATGCTTGAGATAGACTGTACATATTGTAAATTATAGTCGATGTTTCTCATTTTGCAATTTTCTGGCTCAATGACATGATCTGATTTCCTTCCCTACATGAACAATTGATGAACTGGAATGCTGGTGTGGATGGATACAGCTTTATCTGACAGTCATACGCTTTTCGCTGCTTTGCAGGGAAGTTGTAATTTCTTCAAATGGTGCAATGATAATACTGCATCAGCTGGTCTTCCAGCTAGTGCCTCCAAGGTCTACTTGGACATGAACGACTCCAGCAACAAAAGCTACGGTGCAAGAACTGGATCTTCCTGTTTCAAATGTGGGAAGGAAGGCCATTGGGCAAAAGATTGCAGTGTGAGTGTGACTTTGTCTGATTCTCCTGCTACATTTGGAGCAAGTTCTGGTTCATCTGGTACTTGTTACAAATGTGGTCAGCCTGGGCACTGGGCAAGAGACTGCACTTCTAGTCATAATAAGAACGTTCCACAGCGGTACTAACTGTTTTATGCTTGTATTTTTTGGATCCCTCGGTTTTAAATTGCTAGATTGCTTAACTAGTTACTATGAGGGGGGCCATGCTTTTGTGTACAGACACATTTCCCAGCCTTAACATGGCAGCAGACTTGTCATGAGGCTGGTTGTTTGGAAATCTTATTTTGCTATGCAAAGATTTCCTATTTCCTCATGGTTCCTTTTCTGAAAGTACTCTGTCTTGAATTGAGTATATTTGTAATTTTGCTTAAAATCCCCTAATTCTGATTACTTATCCAATCTTACTCATTTAGGAAAGTGTTAATACCTTCAAATATGAGAGAGAGATGAGCATAGTTTTAAATAATGGCTATTACGTTATATAACGTTATGTAATGGTTTCAAAATATACTGTTATTGTTATTTTAGTATTATATTAAGCTGTGATCTGCGATGACGATCATTGTCTACGATTTAAAACTATTTAAAACTATGGAGATGACTATTCTTTATAGTCTTGTTTTTGCTATGACTGTTGTTGGTCTACGAGTCATTACACCTGACTTGGTAGCTAGCACTGTGAGTGACATTTTTATTCTAGCTTCTAGCTGCAAGCTGCAAGCTGCAAGCTATTTTCTTGGTTGTATGTTAGTAGACATTGCAATTAAGTAGAACATGCTCTAGCCAAAATCTCTAATTTCATGGAGGGAACAGTTTGGATGGAGGAAGCCTTTAAATAGGATCTTGAATCCAATTCTTATCATTAGATAGTCATGGTTTCTACCATTTGTCTTTTATCTATAGTTTATTTATCTTTTTATGATTAACATATTGTTGGGTAAAAAAATAAAATAAAATAAAAATAAAAAAGGGAAGAAATATTATATTGTTATAAGCGAATGAATTCAAAAAACTTTGTTTTAACTTGATGCAACACAAAATGGTAAAGATTTTATATACATGTAAAGTGATAAAATTTTAATGGTCAAAACAAAATAAAGATTAAAATGAAAAAAAAATCACTAAAGGTCAAAAAAGCTATAAAAACAATTAAATAAAAAAATCCTATTATACATAAAGTATGGGCAAAAATCATGCATAACAAAACTTCAATGATCTTTTTTTTTTTTTTTTTTTAATTACACTATCTCCATCTAAAAATAAAAAGTTTAATTTAGTCATTTTTATGTTTTGGTTTTGTTATTCTTTCATATTCATATTTGATATCAAAACTTGTAATTTTTTTTCACTTACGCTTCTAAATATAATTAAATTCTCTATACAAAAATAAATTTATTTATTCGCAAGACAAAAAAATTATTTAAATAAATAAACATGCTAATTTACTCCAATAATGTATTAAAATCAAATTAAAGAATTTATTTTCAATAATTCAATAAAATATTTTAAAAAAATTAAAATACAACAATAAAAATGAGCACAATAAGAATAATTTAAAATTTAAAAGATCAAAATAAAAATATAATATAAAGAAAAAAAATAAAAACCTTTGCAACTTGCAGGATCAAAATCGCATGATCAAAACTCTAATAACCAAAATAAAGATAAGAACATGGACCAAATAAATAAAAAAATTCATAAAAAGCCAAAAAAGGATTTAGCTACTGTGGAACTACTTTTAGTTTTATTAATTAATAATAATATTCGGTGAGTTTGACAAAATGGTCTTATGAAAATTCATAATTTTAAATCATAAACGGTAGAAATAATGATCGTGATCACGATTTATTATAATAATAAAATAACGATAATGAGATGATCCAAAACTGAATTGTTATATAATGCTGTTATATAATTATATAGCTTGGAATCCAGCTTTCCGAAACTTCTTAGCAGTATGTTGCTGGGATGTTTTCAAAGGCCAGCTATATCAGCAAATCATCTGATAGATGTGTACTACTTGTATTATGTAGCAATTAGCTCACTTTTGGTCCGTGTCCTACGACCTATTCAACCAACTACTAGCCTAATACTAGAACTACAACAAGGCCATGGCGGTGAAATTGGTTCATTTCTAGGTGAAGTCAAATTGTTCTGTTCCCCTCGTTTAATTTGACTTCCTCAAAAGAACGACCAGGTCATCAATGAACCAGAAAATTCATGGGAAAAATCAAGCTTCTAGCTACTTCATATGTATCCGAAAACCATCGCTTGGCAATGCATTAAGCATGAATTCTCCTCAAACAACTGTTAAAGAAACCAAAATCAAGCTGAATAGCCATGTCAGAACTCCCCCAAGACATCATCGTTGATATTCTTTCTTACTTACCAGTTAAGTCCCTTATAAAATTCAAGTGTGTGTGCAAGTCATGGCAGTCACTACTCTCGGATCCTCGATTTGCCAAGTTGCATCTCAAACGGGCAAATGAAGACAACAACGTCAGCCGCCAAAGGCTCCTTGTTGCAACTGATCCTCTTTATTCTGTGGACTTCGAAGCAGCCAGCGATGGATGTAATGATGATGCAGTAGTGGAGCTTCCTTGTCCAAATGCGGTGAGTCATAACGACTCTTTCGCTGTTGGATTATTTCTGGGATCTTGTGATGGCATACTATGTATACTTAACGAGGTTGATGATATGGTCTTATGGAATCCATCTACTAGAGAGTCCAAGAAATTGCCAGAACCAAGTTCTTCTCTGCACAAAGATTTCTCCACTGGACTTGGTTATGATTCTTCCATTGAAGATTACAAAACGGTGATTGTTTCAGCTACTGCCGATGGCTCTGACCAAACTGTGGCTGAAGTCTTCACATTGAAAACCAACAAATGGAGAAAAATTCCAGGCGCTCTTTCTGGTATTACCTTGGGAGGTCGTTACGAAGGAGTATTTTGGAATGGGGCTTTGCACTGGTTGGGGAAGCGAGGAAGTGGTGCTGCTCATGATTTGGATGTTATTGTTTCATTTGATATAGCAGAAGAGAAATTCATGGAGGCTGTGCCACTTCCGAATCATTTTTCTACAGCAGTTCTGACCGTCTCAGGAAACTGCTTGTGTATTTTCGGCAAACTACGTCCGTGTGGAGGCTATTTTGAAGGATGGTTAACGAGTGACTATGGCGTCAAGAAATCATGGAGAAGACTGTTCTCTGTCCCTGTTGAAAAACTGTCTCTAGATTGTTATTCAACAGAAATGTGGTTGACGAAGAAAGGGGAAGTTCTGATAGACAATCATGGATGTCCAGGGAGACTGAAACTGTACCACCCGGTAGAAGATGCAAGAAAGTTCTTAGAGGTAGAGCATGATAGTAATCCGTTTTATGATTCGGCAATATATACAGAAAGTCTGGTTTCACTAGGTTAGATTGAGAGTAAGTAATCTTAAGAATATATATATATGATCTAGCAATAAGGAGAAATTCCTCTTTCCTCCTTGGAATTTGAGGAGATTGCAATGGCTTAATGTGTTTATTTGATGTCTATGAAATCATGGTCTTATGTCCATCTACAAGAGATTCCAAAGATTTTCCAAAACCAAGCTTCCTTCATGTTGATTTCTTTTCTGGACTTGGTTATGGTTTTTTCCACCATTGACGATTAATCTTGTTTAAATTGCAAAATTTTCTGAACCTAAATCTTCCAGCTTCAACATGACTCTGCAAACTTTACGATTCACATGAGGCATGCAAAGATTCCTACATCCACGTGTTTCCCATTTCTGAGATTGCTGTGTCATTGAATTGAAAAACTTCCATGCATTATCATTTTTGGGGATTGGGATAGCACTCTTTTATCAGCCAATCGTCTCATATAATAATCTTTAAGTTCTTGTCTTCTGTAATGCTTAGTTCATTTTATGGTCCAGTTCCGATGATCTATTCAACGAATATTAGTCTGATGCTTGATCAACTCAAAGGTCATGACAATGGAAGAGGCTCATTTCTTGGTGAAGATAAGTCAAATTGTTTTATCCCCTTTCGTGGTTTCAGTTTTTACCAACCGGCCACCTGATCAAAACATGACTAGGTCAATGATGAAACAGTAAATACATAGGAAAAGTTAAGCTTCTGCAGTTCTACTTCATAGCTGAAAACCATTTCCTAGTGATGCTTTCGTTATTTAATCATGAAATGCTTTGTCCTCCAATAACTGCTAAAGAAACCAAAATCAAGTTGAACAGCCATGTCAAAACTCCCTCGAGACGTTTTTGTTGATATCCTCACTTACTTACCATTCAAGTAGGGATTGCAATTTAACCTGCCTCGTCCCGTCTCGTTTAGGATAGAGATGGTACGTGAAATATGCCCTGCCTCGTCCTTTTACCTTTAGGAATGGCAATTTGACGAGATCCCATCCCACCCCGTTTCGTTAGGGGTGGAGATGTTATGCAAAATATAACCTGAACAGGGCATGCCATCCTCGCCCTGCCCCGTTGCCATCGCTACAATCAAGTCTCTTAATAGATTTAAGTGTGTGTGCAAGTCATGGCAGTTGTTAATCTCTGATCCTCAATTCGCTAAGTTGCATCTCAAACTTGCAAATGAAGGCACCAATATTAACCGCCAAAGGCTCCTTGTTAAATTGGATTCCAAGATCATAAGTTTCTGACCAACTTATATCATTTAATATTTCTATACATGATATAGGAATATTAATTAATGTTAGTTGAATTTTTAAAAAATTTTATACCTAAGTTTTATGTAATTTGGACCTATTATTTCTTATTTATTAAGGACCCCATACGTAATTGTCCATTTCGTTATTAACATGGAAATGTTAAAAAATGAGGCTTGTTGACTTGCATTCATTGTACTCCAAATGTAAGTCAATACCAATAATACACTTTAGCCTATGTAGGTCCTAAGTCGGAGATGTTCAGTAACTGTTGCTGAATAGTTGATTATTAGGTTAATTAGGGATCTGTTATGCAATGTTTATCTTAATTAATTGTATGAATCCGTGTTTCGAAAACAGTTTGTGTATGTGTTCTTTCTCCATTTGGTTTGTGGTACTAATAATGGCTGTGGGCTGCAACTTCTCAAGTTTATCAATCTGTGTCAAAAACCATCAGAATATTTTTTATTTGGTCACTGATAGCATCCATGTGCACACATATAGCTGGAACAAAAATGGGTAAATATTAAATAAAGGAAAAGGCAATTAGCTGTTCAAACTTGACTGCCAAGGAAACATGGCTTCAAAAGAATAGCAATTAAGTTCCTGAGTTATAGCTGAAACCCCCAAAAACAGAACCAAAATCTAGTTGAACAACAGACATGTCCAAACCCCCTCAGGACATCATTGTTGATCATATACTCACCTGCCTAGCAGTTAAGTCTCTAATGCGATTCAAGAGCGTAAGCAAGCTATGGCGTTCGTTAATCTCGGACCTGACGTTTGCGAAATCGCACCTCGAACGATCAAAAGAAGTCAGCTCTAATAAGTGCCGGAGACTTCTCCTTTCAACTGGCACTCCTCAGTCTGTCGACTTCGAAGCAGCTAGTGATGGTGATGAGGATAATGCAGTACAAGAGCTTGAATATCCTTATGTAATAATAAGGTGCAGTCCTATTTGCTATATTGGAATTGTGGGATCTTGCAATGGCTTGATTTGTTTATTCGTTGACTATGAAAAGATGGTCTTATGGAATCCATCTACTAGAGCTTCCAAGGAATTGCCAAAACCAAGTCTTTATCATAATTTTGATTTCTTTGCTGGACTTGGCTATGACTCCTCTAATGGTGATTATAAATTAGTAATTCCTAGCTGCACTGCCGCTGATGGTTATAAACAAAATATTGGTGAAGTTTTTACACTGAAAACTAATACATTGAGAAAAGTTCCAGATGTCGATCACTGTACTGTCTTGGTTAGGAAAGCAAGAAATTGGGTCCAAGAAAGTGCATGTAATTGTTTCATTTGATGTAGCAGAGGAGAAATTCAAGGAAGCTCTGCCACTTCCTGATCATTTCGATAAGGTGGTTTCGGGGATGTCAAGAAACTTCTTGTGTGCATTTGGTGAATGCTATGGAAGCTATTTTGAGGCATGGATACTTGATCATAAATATGATAGCAACGCATCTATCAGAAGACTATTCAGGTTCCAAGGCTGACAGGCTTTCTCAAGAACCTCAAAGAAGGGAGAACTTCTGCTTGGTTATGAAGAATTGCAACTAGAGTTAGACCATCCGGTAGAAAACAAAAACAAATGCATCAGAACACACGGGGGTCCCAATTTATGTGATTTAGCGATTTACATAGAAAGTCTAGTTTCCATCAATGGTGATAAGACCCCAGAAGAAGTTGTTGAAAAAAGATGATTGCTTTTCTGCCTACGTAATTTGTTAGATTACTTCTTGTCCTTGTTGGTCCTTGGATTTTTGAAATCATTCTCATTTGGTATGTACAACATTGTGTTGAGTTGAGTTTCACATGTGAGTGAGGAACCTTGCTTGGGTTAGTAATAAAAAGTTTGAAATGTTTATCTATGAGATGGATTCATAATTTATTAGTTTAGTCTTTTAGGTTAAGGTAGTATTTATTTTATGAAAGTATTTTTGTGTGTAGATTTTAATGACTCTTAGTACGGATCTTTATGTTTTTACGTATTTACATATGCTTATTTTGGTTAGTCTTTTTTTATTCCTTCTTCTTTGTAAGATTGTTGACTTAACCCAAGTTGTTGCCTAAGACAAAATATTTGGAAGTGTCTTTTTTAAATTTGTAGAATTTTTTATGGTGTATCATAGTTTTAAATAATGATCGTTACGTTATATAACAATTGTTATGTAATGGTTTTGAAATATTCTGTTATTGTTATTTTAGTATTATAATAAGTCGTTATCCGTCATAACAACACGATTGTTTTTTCAACCATTTACGATTTAAAACTATAGATCCATGTTTATCTAGTTGAAAATTTTCTAGTCTTAAAAGTTAGCTGCAAAAAGGGATGTTGGAAATAGCCTGGTCACCACACACAATGGGTCATTATTGATCATAATTCAAGAAATGAAAGAGTTATCATCCTTGGTGGGTTTGGTCATGGAATCCATGAATTTGATGCAAGCATGGCAGATTTTCAAAATAAAGTGAAAATTGTCTGAAGGCATGTTGGTTTGAAGTGGAACGACATGTCAACTGTACCAGATTGACTTTTCTGTTGGACTGAACGACATATGGGCTGAGAGAATAATAAACCTGATGGGGAGGGTGGCAGAATGGCTCGTGGGTGGAACGACTTGTCGGTTGCCAACGGCCTGTTGCTTGGAAATGAACTTTCCTAGGAATCACTTTACGCTAAATCCATTACTTTGGTCAGCTGAAAATTTTTTAAATTTGATAAAACAAAAGGAGAGATTTTTTTATAGTTTTGTAACGTTTTCTGTCCCCTCCTATTGTTTTAGCTTAGCAATTAATGTCTGTTTATTATTAATTAGCAATCAGCAAATCATTCATATATAAATTAATAAATTTTTTTAAAAGTAAATAATGATAATGCAAAAGGTAAATGTTACCACCTAATTTTTTTTTTTTAAGGTTTTAACTTTTTGTAATGAAATAAATTAAGGAAAAAAATAAAAAAGCTTTCCTAGGGGGACATGAATTATTATTATTATTATTTTTTTGCATAATTTCAAAAAAGCCCACAAAATTGGCCCAATTTATTGATTATTGATTAATAGGCTGATGTTATGTTACAATATATTATGACAAAATAATTTTAAGTTTTGATGAATTAATGCTAATTCAAAGCATCCATCAATTTATATTAAGAAGGTTGGTTTGAATAAAATAGTTAATAAAACAAATGATCTCATATTCGAGTTTTTGTATATATAAAAAATTTTCTAAATATTTATTCTTATTTTATGCGTTCGACAGAATAATTAGGGATTAATCTAGATTTGCAAATCTGAAATACCTTAAGGATCCAAAAATTTATCAATTTCTTACTCAATTGAGGGGTCGTCCAGGGAAGTAAACATTTACCAACAACTTGTTTTGCATCACTTATTAGGTCATTAGGGTTCGATTGTCAAAAAATCATTAAACTGTCCTATCTTCTTCTTTTTTTTTAATTATTTTTTGTAACAATCAAATGGACATGTGTATCAATTCAATACACAGAGATTTCAAGTTTCAACCCCAGAAATGAATTCAACAAAATGATAAACATATGATGCTTACACATATTTTGTACACCTCATAAATAGAGTCAATGCATGTGTATAGGTCAATGCTGTCTTTATCCAAAAAAATATAATAATAATAATTGTTGGACCAGGAAAAAATTTGTTTGAATGTGAAATCTTTTTAAAATTTAAAACGTGACCAGAACTCCATTTGCTTCCATACTTTGTATTTGCTTGGAGAAGTGCTCACCATCGATCTTCTTGCGAGATATAAAAGCCCACACGAGCATGCTATTACTTTTCTTTTCGCATATTGCTTCTTAAGAAAATTACACATACATCTTGTTTAAGAGATTATTTTTGGAAGGAAAAAAAATAATTATAATCTATGTCAAGCGGGGCTCATGGAACGAGGAGAGAAGGAGTCGTCACCTAACTAATCGAAGAGAATTAAAAAACTCTAAACCAATTTGTCCTTATAAATATCTAGATAAAGAATCGAGTTACATATAAGAAAAATATAATATTATCGTTATTTAGTCCTACTTGAGATAGACTGCATTGAATGTATGCAAAAATAAAAATTCGGTTTATACTATGTTATATTTTTATGCTTATTTGAGTGAATTTATTATGTTAGAATGGAATAGCATAGTAATTCGGGATTCGGGCTGGTTCGAGATTTATACCCATACATAAAGGGAAAAGGTGGAGGGAGATTGAAATTTTAGCTAATCTTTAATAAACAAAGACGTATACCGACAAATTAGTGAGTTCCAAAAATTGGGAGCCTATATTGACATGAACAGAAAGTCATCGATAATTTTACTCACATAAGTGAGAAGCCACATCCTACTTTGAGTCATGGTTTAAGAAGTTGCCGAAAGCTTCGTCCACACAAGTGGAAAGCCACTACCTATTAATGTAAATGCCGAAGATATAATCTATTTGGATTATTTGAAAAAATAAGTAAAAACTATGGAAAGATTGATGAAAATATAATACATTTTATAAAATAAAAAAATATTAAGTTAATCATAATCAATACTAGTTAAAAAGATTAAATAATTAAGTTTTGAAACCAGAAGACTAATTAATTCGTTTCTGAAAAAAAAAAAAAGGACTAATTTATAATTTACTCCGAAACTTAACGAAACACCTTTAATTTCTTTGTATTATGTTACTTTTTAATATTTTCACATGTAGGATTTTATGATATGCCTTCCATCATTAATTAATAAGTGCATGCGTAACCACAGATTCCTTAAACTGCCGTGTAAGACCGGAGAAACTAAAAAGAATTAAGAAAGCTTGGCCAGGTTCAGTTATCACTTCAACATTGAATTGCTTGGTAAGAAGTCCTATTCAAACACAACCATCACTTGACACTTGACACTTGCTATAGTTTTGAGGATTTTTCTTCTCCTTTTTTAAAGGATTATACACCACTCAATCACGCATCTGCTAATGTTGCTAAGCTAGTAAATTTCAAGTTTCTATCTATCTTTGAATGGATGGCAACAAATATTAGAAAGATTTGACCTGAGACAAAAAATATTAGAAGACAAAGGCATATGCCATGAGATGCCGGAGGTTATCCTGGTTTGCACTGAACAAGTTCACATGATAAATTGCCATAGTTGCTCGTTGTTCTTTGCATTCTACTGGGATCCCTTCAAATATTCACTTCTTTCTCTCTCCACTCTCTAGCTCTTCAACTCATTTTTCCTGTTCCTGCAATCCAAGAGGCAAGTCTCTTTCTCTAGCCTAACAAATTCTTTAATGGAATTAATTCGTTTCTATTGAATCTAGCTAGATAGGATTTTCCTTACTCATGTTTTGGTAGTTTCTTTGGTGCGGTAACGGTAAGTTCTGATGAATCTTGAAATCATTAGTAACGAAACATAACAGTCTCTACCGTATGATAGTCTGTAGTTTTCTTGGTCTTGAATTAGATTTCTTGTTTCATAAAAGCTAGGATGTTTGTTTCATAAAACAGTACAAATTCCTCAAATATCTAACTAAAGACTAATAAGATGATCCTATCTTCTCTTTGTTGATTTGCAGAATATATATATAGTGGTAGAAGTGTTCGAGGAAAAGTAGTCGTGTAGTACTGCAAATTGAGAAATCTGGCAATGGCTAGAAACCAGATGGGAGTGCTTAACGCACTTGATGTAGCAAAGACGCAGTGGTACCATTTCACTGCAATTATAATTGCTGGGATGGGGTTTTTCACAGATGCATATGACCTGTTTTCCATTTCTCTTGTCACCAAATTGCTCGGTCGTATATACTACCATGTTGATGGTGCAGAAAATCCCGGTAGTTTGCCTCCAAATGTTGCAGCTGCAGTGAATGGTGTTGCGTTTTGTGGAACTTTAGTTGGCCAACTCTTCTTTGGTTGGCTTGGAGACAAATTAGGCCGAAAAAACGTTTATGGAATGACCCTCATGCTCATGGTTATCTGCTCCATTGCCTCAGGACTTTCCTTCGGACATTCTGCGAAGGGTGTCATGGCCACACTTTGTTTCTTCAGATTCTGGCTTGGTTTTGGCATCGGTGGTGACTACCCCCTCTCCGCCACAATCATGTCGGAATATGCCAACAAAAAAACTCGTGGGGCATTCATTGCTGCTGTGTTTGCTATGCAAGGATTTGGCATTTTAACCGGTGGAATTGTTGCTCTCATTGTGTCATCTGCGTTTGATCATGCTTCCAATGCCCCTTCGTATGAAGTTAATCCAGTAGCCTCAACCGCGGCTGAAGCAGACTATGTTTGGCGCATCATTTTGATGTTTGGATCGGTGCCGGCAGCCATGACATACTACTGGCGAATGAAGATGCCTGAGACAGCTCGCTACACAGCCCTTGTTGCCAAGAACGCCAAGCAGGCAGCTTCAGACATGTCTAAGGTACTGCAGGTGGATCTCGAAGCTGAAGAGGGCAAGGTAGAGGTAGAGCACGAGTCACCCAATTCTTTTGGCCTTTTCACGAGGAAATTTGCACGTCGCCATGGGCTTCACTTGCTTGGAACCAGCGTTTGTTGGTTCTTGCTGGACATAGGCTACTATAGTTCAAATCTTTTCCAGAAGGATATCTTCAGTTCAATTGGATGGATTCCACCCGCGAAAACCATGAACGCCATCCATGAAGTGTATGTGGTTGCAAGAGCACAAACACTCATAGCATTATGCGGTACAGTTCCAGGGTATTGGTTCACAGTGGCTCTGATTGATCATATAGGAAGGTTTACCATTCAATTGATGGGATTCTTCTTCATGACCATCTTCATGTTCGCCCTGGCAATCCCTTACGATCACTGGACAAAGAGGTCTAATCGTATTGGCTTCCTTGTCATGTACTCATTGACGTTTTTCTTCGCCAATTTCGGACCCAACGCCACCACATTCGTTGTCCCGGCAGAGATTTTCCCTGCAAGGCTTAGATCGACCTGTCATGGAATATCAGCAGCGGCCGGGAAGGCTGGGGCTATTGTAGGTGCGTTTGGATTCTTGTACGCTGCACAGAGCACAGACCCTAAAAAGACTGATGCTGGTTACCCTCCTGGTATTGGTGTTAAAAATTCACTAATAGTGCTAGGTGTGGTCAACTTCTTTGGGATCTTGTTCACTTTACTAGTACCAGAAGCAAACGGAAAATCACTTGAGGAGCTATCAGGAGAAAACGAGGATGAAGATGATGTGCAGGATCAACAACAGGCCTCTTCGGTTAGCGCAATGCCACTATGATTTGGAAAAAATTTCAAGGGAATTAACGAAAGTTTGTTGATTTCATACCATAAATATCAGTGAGATGTAGCAATCTAATTTAATATTGTCATACTCTGTAGATTCTGCATTGAATAAATAATATTGATGGGGCGTTGCGGTTGGATTCGAGGATCTAAGCAGCAGGTGGGGTCCTTAGGGATTCCAACTCATGTTGGTTAATTGGCTTCTTCTATAATATTGGCTTGTATTGTGTTTTATATACAGAGTTATAGGGTATCTTTATTAGGTTAGAGATGACTTAGAATATAGGTTATCGTCATGTCCTTGTTAAGACTGACTCTTTGTTAGCTATTCGATTAGTTCAGTCACCGATAAGAAAGATGGGCACTTATAATACTCTGGTTGCAGCGATTCAGGAGATTTTAGCAAAAAACTAAGAAGCAAATAGATTGAAAGATCGATTAGCATCTTTTGCTTTTTCCTTACCTCTCGGTGTCACATATTTTCCTAACGCAATAGGCGATTATGTGGAACTTCTTCAAGAGAACATCAGTCATAGATTTTTCAAGATATTGTATTAGTTAATTCTGTCGTCCCGAGCTATGGCTCTCCATCTGATAAAATAATAATAATAATAATAATAGTAAGCACATTTTCTGTAAACTTAAATTAATTGTAGCTACAATACGAACAGTGCCACTACAAAATACCCTTTGTTCTACGAATCTATTAGCTAAAGAGCCAAAGAAGGCTAAGAATCATCACCTTCCTTCTACTCAATCTGACAAATTAGAGGAAGATAATTAGATGATATTTTGAAGGAAAGCAGTTCAAATTGTTGAATTATCCAAGAGTTACCTCATTTTTTTCTCAATAGCAGAAATATTTAACAATTGTAAATATGACAGTCACCACCATCGAATACTTTAGTGCCATCGACATCAATCCATTGGCTCTGATGCCACTTGCTAAAGAGATTTACACGAAAACATCACTTGGGAGCTTAAACACAAGGATAAACCTCATCTTAATATAAAGTCTAGACTAATAATTTATGTATCCATCTTATACATAAATTTTTCTTTTTTTTTTATTTTCAATGCGAAATATTTACTGCTTACATGGGTATTAAAAAAATAAGCTTAAAACTAGTTTTTTCAGGAGTAAAAGTAAATTATAAATTAGTCTTTTTATTTTTCAAAAACCAATTATTTAATTCATTGATCATCATTTTTAATTTAATACTAATTTATTTCAAAAAAATATCACATTTTTTTGTCTATCCTTTCATATTTGTTTTATTTTTTTCCTTTTATTATTTCTCAAAAAATAAAAAAAATAAATAAAGAGGATTAAGTTATAAAAAAATTAAAATTATAGAGACTAAATAATTAGTTTAAGAAACAAAAAAAATTAATTAATTCATTTCTCAAAATTAAAGGGACTAAGTTACAATTTACTAGTAACTATATCAATATAACTTTTTGGTCGTTTTCAATACACATAAATTTCATCCATTTGCTTTTTATTGCTTATTTTTTTCCCCGTTTGTCTTAGAGTAACTATTAGTTTTCTTAGATTTTTCGATCAAAAACACTTTGCAGTTTATTAGTGTTTTTTTTTCCCTTAAAACCTTAACCCTTAGTTTTCTTGAGTTTTTCCTATCAAATTTTTTTTCGTAGTTTATTAGATTTTTCTATATTAAAACCTTAACTATCTATTGGAATCCAATTACTTTTGCATCGATTTAAATATTTTTTTTCCCTTAAAACTTTAATTTCTTCTGATTTCTTTTGATATGTTCTTCATTTTTACTATATGTTTGTAGAATATTGTGAGATAGTTACAACTTCCATACGAGATCCATCCCTAGAAAAAAATAATTGCTAACAATCTCTTTTATAAATGCTTCTCTCTAAATATATGAATGCTTTGAAAATTAAGTTCATATATATATATATATATATCAATGATTCATTACCAGTCCAGATAGATAAGCATATGTAGATACGAACATAAAATGAGATATAGTTATAACAAAAACAAACAAAGACCTATCCTTATTGACTACAACTTTGCACTAAACACAAAAATATACAAGCACCCTATCAAGAGCACAAGACAAAATGACTAGCGATTCTGACCTTTACAATTGTCACAGACGTAAACATGCAGAAACATTCCACTGTTATCCCCAGCTCAACTCGAGGATGATGGTTTTACAGAAAAGGACTCATCCATCAACAATGAATTGGTCATCCTGAGTATCTCCATCAACCCTGCTGTCCCCATGAACCATACCATTTACATGGTGCAAATTCTGCATCATTTGTGAAAGATAATGGCTGCTAGCACCGGTATGATCAGAGAGTCCAGTTGGAGCAGTCCATTGTGAAACAATCCCAAGCAACTGGCCAGTAAGGTTTTGTTGCTCGTGAAGAATACGGGTCTGGATCTGCCCCATTTCTGCTCGGTGCTGACTCAACATCTCATCAATCCTCTTCTTCCATTCTGACCTCTTCCTATTCACCCTCTCTTCCCATTCCCTTTCTTGAATCAACTCCTCCTCTCTTCTTCTACTCTCCCTCTCCTCTCTCTCCTTCTCCATAGCTTCCCGTTCTTGAATCATCTGCCTTGTTAACTTTTCCCTAGCCTTTTTTATCTCTTCCCTCTCCTTTTCCCTTTCTTCCAACTTCCGTTCCCATTCTTGCTCCCTCTCCAACCGAATACTCTCTCTTCCCTGCTTCTCCCGCTCTCTCTCCAGCTCACGTTGCTCAAATCGAGCCTCCATATCCCTCAACTGCCCCAACTGGTTTGATAGAAACCCAAACACCCTCTTTTCTAACCCCTTCAGTGCCTTCCTCTTCTTCCTCATATTAGACACATTTGGGTCCACTTCTTCATACATGAAACCATCATCTCCATCCTCCCTCACTCGATCATTACCATTACAATTCTCCTCTGCCTCTTCCCCTTCATAATCAAACCCCAAACCCAGCACCCCATTCTCACCCCCATCAATCCCAGCAAAATCACCATCTGCTGAATTACCTAGTTGGCTAAACTCTGCCATGTCCATTCCCCTGACAGCCCCTAACAAAACCCCACCATTCTCCCTATTATCCTCATTCAAGACTCCCATCAAATCATTACAATTACTGCCATTAGTCCCATAAGCAACCGGAAGATCCCCAAAAACCTCCTTGTACCTCAAAAAATTCGACCAATAAGTAAGTCCTTCCAACCAATCAAACTCATCCACATTACCACTACACTCTCCGCCACCACAACCTGAATTCTCCATCGACGAAAACTCAGGTTTCTTAATCTTTTGCTTAACAAGTAAGTACTGGTGCCTCATATTCTGCACCTTAGTGGACACATCCTTCCATGTCCATTGCCAAGGGAAAGCAATCGGATCACGAACATGGTGCACAGAATTCACATACAAAGCAATTGGTTTATATTTCTTCTCTCTAGTTTTCATTTTTGCAAGGGTCCCATCAGAGACCATCTCTCCGTATTTCTCAATTAGGGTTTTCTCTTCTACTTCTGTCCATTTCTTTCTTTTTGGTGGCATCATTAGATGAACCAAAATCTTTACAAAAACCTATACAAGTACCACCATAACACTTCTTAACTTAATCAAGATTCCAAGACTATCACATGCAAAACTGTCTAAAACGAACCAAAATAAATCTACCCAGATCACGAAAACAACAAACTAAGCTCCAAAAGAAATAGTTACTAGCAGTGCTTACCTTGAAATGGGTATTGCAGAATTGTGGAGATGGGTTTCTTGAAAGCTTTCTAGAGGCAGATTTTCTCGGAAAATCGAGAGAGAGGGTGAAGGAATCTGTAAGAAAGAGACCAAAGTTTAGTGCTTTTCAAGTGAAAGTGATATTTTGTCTAGGACTACAGTACCTGTACAACAATATAAACGGTAATGTTTTTATTTCTTACATCTTTTTAAGTGCATAAACCGTGGTAGATTGGTCGGCATAAGGACATCACAGAGTCTATAAATGGGCAAACTACATATATGGTCCTTTAACTTATAAAATGTTTAATTTTAGTCCTTTTTTCATTTTGAAAATGCTATCTTTTTAAGTATAAAAAGACGATTTGAGCGATTAAAAAAAAAGCCTACTCTTCCATATAAAATGATGATGTGGAAATCGAAACAACTACAGCGATAATATTTTTTTATATGGAAATCAAAACAACTACAAAGATTATATTTTTTCTTCTCTTTTTCTTCGACCAATCTCTCTCACAAGCATAATTTTAAAAAAAATCATTACGTAACGTAACAGTCGTTATATAATGATAACGGGACACCTCATTGTCGTTATTCGACATTATGGGTGCCCCAATATCGTTTCGGACAAATAACTATAAGAAAATAATAGAAGAAACAGGTAGGATGAGAAATTTTGATTAGTAAGAAATGGACTTTTGGAATAAAGAAGCATTTAATTGAGGAGGGACAATGTCGATAAAGGGATTTTTAATTATTTTTTATATTATAAGGACTAATTAATTAATTTTGATAAATACAGGGACTGGTAAGAGATATGATCATCTTTTGCTTTACCAAAAACTAATTACCAGTTTAAATACTCATAAGTATACAACCGCTCCAATCATCTTTAAAAGTATTGGACATGATTTTTTTCTTGTTTTCTTTTTCGACAAAAAAATAAATTGAAACATGATATTATCATTTCAATGGAGCTTCAGAAGAGACAAGAAGAGAAACTTCAAAGCAAATCTATGTTAGCTGATCTTTATAGTTCTGAAAATATTGCCCCAAAACAGTAATCATCCCAGCACAACAATATTAACACACTACTAATCCCTTTGGAAAAACAAAAAAAGCTGATATTAAGCATATATAGCAGTATCCCTACATCATGTTAAAATCATACATGTTAATCTCAGCTGAGAAATGCATGTCGTCTTTTCTTGCTAGCAAGCTTGACCTTGACATTTGAAAAATGAGCATTTTCCATGGAGTGGAAAGATTGACCATGGAATTGCTTAAAACTTGGCAATATGTTGCTCTTCAATATTTGCACTTCTAGTGGAATTTGCGTTTGAGGAGACAGGAGTTTCTGGTGAAGAATTACTTATTGGAGCATTTCCCATATCCATTGTTCTGTGAAGGAGAAATGTCCCAGATAAGATTGTGATAAAACCGCAGATTTCAGTTACAATTTGTGATGCATTTTGTGAGTCCCATTCCTGTATTTGTCGCCAAAGATGTGAGGAATGCAAGTGATTAGACATGTTCAAATCGAAAGAAATTCGATAAGGCTAATATATTATAAACTATGATCAAACAATGTGTTCTTGTCAGTTGGCAAGGAGTTGTTAGATAAACAAGTGTGGAAGATCCTGAAAATGTTAGTAGTACCTTAAACATGATCATGCTGGCAAGAATTGTCAGACTGGTAAACATAACATAGTAGACTGGAGATATAACTGCTGTATTATAGGTGTCTAGTGCCTGCAAAACACTGCAAATTTAGAGAACGAAAAACTACGCTGTTCGAGGATTCAATGATTCTCATATTCATGTTACTTTCAATTCAAATAGGAAGGATCGGGCTTCTCCAAATGTAATGTAATAGAATAATTCTCTTCGACAACACACAAGTATATTTCAGAACAGAAGAAGTGGTAATAAAAGCTTAAAATCCTGAAGAAACACGTGGGATCAAGCTCCATGTAGTTTCTCAAATTTACCTTGTTCAAGTAGTTGATCTGCAGAAGGCAAGCAAAAACCACAACTAAAGCGAAAAGCCATGTCTGATAGTAGATGAATTGATTCGATCCTGAAAATGTCAGCTTTAAAGCAATTCCCAAGGCTTTGACACTCATAACCTGCAGATAAATATCCTGATCTATCAATAAAAACAGAAATTCCATGACTAGTTCAACCTTCAAAGATAATAAACCAACCGTAATAGATCCCATGAGTGAGCAAATTCCGACGTAAACTATCATATGGGATTGACCATAACGTGGCACAAACCGGAAAATGAGGACAGAAACCAGAATTAGAACTACTCCACTGTAGACAAGAAAACCTGTAGAAAACAGAGAGTTTTTAGATTGATAAAACTGAAGGGTCCAGAAATGATGAATTGTGCAGGCTATGTCCAAAGAAACCAAGGGAATATGCACATACAACTGAGGGTAAAGCAGTGATTCAAAAATTTCTAAGAAAAACATGAGAATATGAGATGTCCCATAATAATCAAAACGAAAGAACAAACTATACTTTCAGCACTATTGATTCATTACTGCCCATTTCTTGCAAGTCAATCAAATACAATGTTTCAGCTCCTCTGATAGATCAAGAACGCAATCCTAGAATCTGCCATTCCTTTGCTAAAGAGTAGAAGTTTGCGTTACGTAATGAACTAAACTTGGAAATTCTCAAGCTCCCATTATTCAGACCATGTTTCCAGGACCATGATCAGGATGTTTCAAAAGAAAGGGAAAATGCATGATCAGAATGTTATAAAAAAATAATTAGGCACCAATTCATGAGAGTTTTTTAGTTTTCCTTCGATCTTCTTTCGTTTTATCCTTCGGAATAAATCCAAAAGAATTCCAAGCATGCAGCTAGAAGATAACAACTCCATTACCTGGCTCTGTAGCAAGGTGCCATACTTCCTTGACAGATTCAATATTTCTTTCCTGCGGAGCATGTAAAACAATATTTGTCGAGCCCACCACACAAAGAACACATCCAAGAACACCAAAGATATGCAATTTCTCCTTCAAAATGAAATGAGCTAGCACTGCACTGCAGAATGATGTTTTAGTCATAAAAGACACACCCTAGCCATCAGTAAGCTTGCACCAGTACCCCCAACCCACCTTCACGCACAAATACATCTATATAATAACTACATTCATATATTTGTAAATCTACAAATACATGCATAAATAAGACAAAGAGAAGAGGAAAGGTTCTCTCGAATTTACTACTGAGGTAGTAAAATGTATCATACCTGAAAATAATACTTAAAGCTCCCAATGGGGTTACAAGAATTGCAGGAGCAAATGCGTAAGCTGCAAAATTAGCTATTTCTCCAACAATCACTGTAAGAAAGCAATGTATCAGCACTAAAATGAATCAAGAGGAGATTCCTAATACATCATATACCTGAAAGCAATTGGAAAACATAGTAGTTCTGTACAAAAATAAACAACCCGGACAAGCATTTCTATGAGATAATACTTCTATGCAAATTCAATAGGAAGTAAAACAGATGAAAGAACATTGAGCCATAGATCTCTAATATGACAGATCATTGGCCAACTCCTTCACAAAACCTTGGGGGTTTGATAGAAATATTTATCATTTTCAACCACACACTCATCTCCATTTCTGTCTCTTTTTCCTCTCTTCTCAAGTTAAATAAATTTAGTCTTTCATATTTCTTTGTCCCGAGTGTTAAATTTTGAAATAAAATCCGCCAAGGATGCTGATGATCTGAAGGTGTCATGAATTTTTACACAGATCACACGAAAATCACTGAAAAATTTCAGCAGAGACATTCAACCTTTGTGTTTGCCTCCTATAACTTCAAACCAGAAGATAACAGTTGTGAGATAGCATCTTCCAAAGAGGTCCTTAGTGTCATGGTATATCAAATTGTAACGGAATTTCTATGAATAATCATGTGGTTTTCAGCTAGAGGTTCAGTATTCTAAGACTTGAAATATCTTCGGCGAGTCCCCTTATCAGTTACAATCATAATGTCAAATAATCAGAAGCCTAAAGTTCTGTCACAATCATTACGATGGTGTAACATGTCAGTGTTCAAGAAATCATATCCACCTCTGCTATTGGATAGCAAAATCAAAAACATATTTGGCCAGAAGTTCAAATAACTTGCTTCAGAAATACGGAAACATCCCATTACACAAAAAAGATGGAGCCTGAATTCAATTAAGAAGAATATTGGTCCCGGATATCTCAATCTTCTTTTCTTCAAAAAAGCTGATATTTTATGACCTAATTGCATCGCAACCGTTAAAATCGTAATCACCAATGACAGATTGCTGCATGATACAATTGCAAACAACCAGAAAAGGTAGTTCAGCTGTTTGAGATCAAAGGAGTTTCCTAATTTGATCTAACTTCAATGTGGGTGCTTAAGAGTGTTTTCTGATGTAAAGCATCAACAACCAAGTCATTTCTTTGGTATTGCCAGCTTGCCATCCTCTTCGCCACTGAAAACACTTTAAACAAAGTTCTAATTTGTCATTCCTCTACTCACTACAATCAGAAGTTCATTTCCAAAATTAGCAGCAGAATTAGACCCAAGAGGCAAGAACCTTATGGCAATGGAGCTGTTCAGCTTGCTTCAGATTAGTTAATTGACAATGAAGCTCATTTCACTAATAAGCCAAATACTTGTGCTTAAGCTTAGCTTCATCTCCTCCCAGCATGAATATGGTTAATATCTTAGATCACTTTCTACCCATCAACTGCAGGCTTACGCCAGAGCTTCAGGGATCATAATCGCAACTCGCCCATCAGTCTTTCATATCATACATATCAAACTACATCCGAAGCAGGAAACAGTCAACTACCTCCCTGAAGTAATTAACTAGTCTGAGAACTGCTCTGCCAGCAAAATCAGGAACTTTAACCTGAGCTCCTTTCATAATTAATCACACCCACAGGCCACATCAAACAAATTATAACTGTGAATGCTACTCTTTAAGCCATATAAAAGATGAATAATGGGACTTTCATGAGTCCACATAACCTCGAGGTTAGTCTTTTGAGGAACAGCAAAACCGGCATGAAACTGTCGGATATTCTCCTCTTCCTTGAAGTGATTAGGCTACAATCTCTTTGCTGGGAAGCGTGTGACCTGTGACACATGAACTTAGGCGGTTAGGCCTAAAGCAACATTGCAAACCCCCTCCGTGAGCATGGATCAATAATCTAAAGCTTCAGAAAAGGCCAATAGCAATACTTGCCAGTTCCTCACTAGTCGCTTCTGCTAAGTTGAAAGGCCACATACACAGAAATCCCTCTTCCTTTACTTATTAACAAATCAAATACACAGAGAGATCAAGCAAACTCCTCAGTAAACTAATCTGAAACAGATCAGCAGCTGAAGATACAAGTTCTTTCTTTAAAATAGGGAGCAATGACCTACAGGATATCCCGCACTACCCAATGGCCAACAGTATGGCAGCCTAACATAATTAGGATTTAGGAGCAAACACTTTCGATAACGAGGCCAACTGATGGTCTTAAATCTTTTTTATTCCTTTCATTCTATCCAGTACTGGCAAAACCAAAAACCTTCAAATAAAAGAAAGGCAACCTTGACCTTACACTTTGCTGCTGCCAATTTAACCTTTTACTTTGAAGCTATCACCTCATAATGCCTAGGCTTTGCAAAATGCAATCATCTTCTCCCAAAAGCTTTAAAAGCAGAACCTTTCTGTTTGTTATTCAGTAAAATCGTGACTGCTTGCTGCCTTTTTCGCAAATTTGCAGAACAATTAAGATACGTGACTATACTTGACGTTTTTGCATCATACAATGGCTGCAACTTTGCAAGGCCATTCAAACTTCCCTTCTCTTATTCTAGTGGAGTAGAATCAGTAATCCACGGTTAAAGATTGTGAAATCCGCTAGGACATACAATTTTACTTTTCTGCTCTCTTTTCTAATGAATTGATTGGACAAACTAAAACTATGTTGAAAATTACAGCAAACACAGAATCACCAAATATACATGTATGTGACCATTTATGTTCATAAATCATCAGAACTCTAAGAGAAAAACAAAAACTATCAACAAAATTAAAGGAAGTAAAAACTCACTAGCAATCATCCCAGCCCACCACCAAGGTTCAAACAAGTACGAATGCCCTCCATCACCTGGTCATATTGTGAATCCAAAGAGAAGTTCAATATTTTCTGAAAAAACACATGATATTAACTACTCAGGAAGAAGAAGAAGAAGAAGAAGCAAACCAGGTCTGGTTCCACCATTCCCGGATTTAATAAGCCCTTTCTTCTTTACAATAAAGCTAGACCCAATAAAAATGCTTGAAGAAACAGCCAAGATAAGTCCATGAACATTGTCAGGTGATATCCCCATTGATCCAAAAAATGAATTGGAGCCAACTAATACTCGAAACTAATTTTTGCAGGGCCAAGATCGATCCCAATTTGCTATTCCTGCATTTGCACAAAAAACAAAAAAGATCATAATTCTCAAAAAATAACCTCCTTAATTTTTACAAAGTTACATACATCGCCAACGAATCCAAGCAAGGCAGGATTCTAACCTAAGACAAATCAAAAATCCTGAAAAACAACATATGACATGTTCCATCTAAGATGTTTCACGTGAATTATAACATCATTAGCAATCCTAAGATCTTGTCTTGCACCACATTAAATAAATATACGTAACAGCATTAAAAATAACAACATGTACCTGCCTTTCTTGGCACGCTGCAAATAGTAATGGGGCTAAAGTCCCATCTACATAGTCACATGCATGAAATTATGGCTCTCTATGATGATGATTTCTTTTCTTTTCTTTGTCTATTAGGGTTTTTTTTTTTTTAAATGTGATATTGATGTTTTGCTTTACAAAATGAAAGGAACGAACAAGGAGGGAAAGAAAAACTAAAAGCAAGGAATCTTAAATGTACGTGTGTGTGTAAAATAAACACAAGGAATGTTAAATGTGTGTGTGTTGCTGATGGAGGCTTAAAGGATTGATGGTATCCATAATTCTGTAAACAGAAAACAATGAAATCCTTGCAAAAAATAAAAAATAAAAAAGATGAAATAGTGATTGGTGAAAATACAAATCTATAATTAAAGATTTGCTCCGCGTCCCGCGCTCTCTTTTCTCTTTCTAAGGGAGGAGTTACAGCAACAATTACACGGAATTTAAATAAATGCCATGCATTTTTCCCACTTCATTACTACCTTATTTTTATTTTATTTTTTTTCAGAATTGACCACTACGTTTTTATTTTTTAGATTTGTTATTATAACCAAATCATTATTTATCTTGTTTCTCAGATTATGGATTTTGAATGTGATTTTTTTTTTAAAAAAAAAGGGTTAAATTTTTAGAGTTATAGTTGTTGCTAATTGTTGTCAATAAATTACTACCACAAATAGCTGGAATTAATTTAGTACTTAACATATAAGGATTCCACTATGGGTAATGAGAAAATCATAGACAAATTAGGAGGTTTATATCGAGCAATGATAAATAAATGGAAAAAAAAAAAAAAAAAAACCATTAACAGAAACACACAAGATGAATGCTAAAAAAAAAAAAAAAAAGAAGGCAATAATAAAAACTTGTAAAGAAAAATCAATAAATAAATCTATGACAAAAACGATAGACAAAGCTTGTAAATAATAAACTTACTGAAGTAAATTGCAAGTAATTTGCTTAGCCTAGACCTTTTTGTCAATAAATTACTTAATAGCTGGAATTAATTTAGTACTTAACATATAAGGATTCCACTATGGGTAATGAGAAAATCATAGACAAATTAGGAGGTTTATATCGAGCAATGATAAATAAATGAAAAAAAAAAAAAAAAAACCATTAGAAGAGACACGATGAATGCTAAGAAAAATAGTAAAAAATAAAAATAAAAAGTAATAATAAAAGCTTGCAAAGAAAAATCAATAAATAAATCTATGACAAAAACGACAGACAAAGCTTGTAAATAATAAATTTACTGAAGTAAATTGCAAGTAATTTGCTTAGCCTAGACCTTTTTGTATGTTACGAAGCTTGGTGGAGAAAATAATCAGCTTAGATCTTCTTACGTACTATTCTATCCCTCGAGAGTTCTGTCCAGGAAATCCTTATTTAGTGCAATTTACAAAATCTTTAAGAAAAAAAGGAAATTAGAAACCTATACGAAATAGGACAATCGATCCTGTTCTAATACAAAATATAAATTTTAAACACCTGCAAAAAAAAAAAAAAAAAAAGCAAAAAGCTTACAATGTCAAGATCTGGATTTGTTGATAAATCACTACAGTTCTAGCTGCCATAATTTGAATAATTATAATGATATTAGAACAATAACATGTTCCTTTGTTAAAATATTTATTTTGGATATCAACACTAATTAAAAAAGTTTTAGGGAAGCATGATAACAATTAAACTTGCGATTAGTTTTCAATTATGTAAGGTAATTAATTGAGGATAAATGTACAGCCACAGAATTTAGGCAACTGGCCCACGTTAAACTAGTGCAAAAGATCTCAAGTTAGTTTCATTTCTTCTGTTGTGATCCTTACAACGATGCAGAGACTCTTCCTAGAGGAGCAACCTCAAGGTATAGGACACGCAGTAGCTCCAGGCCATCTTCAGAAAATTACATATAAACCTTTAAAAACCAGGGAAAGCCAGGTTTCAGAATTGAAATTTACAGTAAGGTAGCAGCTCGTGATCTACAAAAGGATCGCAAAATTTCGGCCTGGACAGAAACAGCAAAACTCGGTCCAAGCGTCATGTTAAGAATCTCACCATTCCAGCCTTGTGTTCTCTTCTATATCCACCAGAAAACTGGTTGATGCAGTAACTTAGGCAGCAGGAAACTTGCGCTAGCCAAAGCAAGGCTGGACTGAGAGAACATCACACCCAGGGCAAGGTATCCATCTCAGGCCACATTTTAGATGGCCTGAGGTTCTTAACGCATCCATCTTCCCATTTTCATTGTCATTATCTTCCTTTTCTTGTGGGCGCGATTCTTAGCTGCAACCTGTAGCTTCCTCTTGGCATGTCGCATAGGGTTAGTAACAACCATGACTTTTTGCTCTCGCTTCCTCTTTTCCCTCCTGACCTTGAGATTTGTTCGTACCTTGCTATAAATCTTTACAAAATTCTCCACGCCTACAACTTTTTGTATACTATCACGAACCTCTTGTGCTAACTGCTTCAAATTATCTGGAAGACAGGCCAGCCAATTCTTATCAGATCTCCACGACAAGTATCACAATTACATCTTATGAAATGCATACGAGACAGTCAGAAAAAAAAATTCAAAACAGTTGAATGTAAGTTCAAACAAATACACCACATTCTCATTATTTCAAGAAACCAACCAAAATTCTTCTCTTGTTAGGTAAGTTCAGGCAAATAAACACTGTTGGTGAAACGCACACATAAATCTTCATGATTGATATCCACAGCAGATAGATCTCACCAATGGTGATATGTGGTGTGTTTGGAGAGTCCTCTGTAATTTTTTTCATTTCGAATTATTTATTAGGTTATTTATAAAAAGAAACGCATCTCCTTTCCAACACAATTGTACTTTCCAATTATAGCTTTTTTACCTTAAAAAGAAAGCTCAAGAAGAAATAAAAGTAGAGAAAATCTCAGTCCCCATTCCCCGAAGCTATATAACTTGCATAAAAAGAATTTATGAACAAAAGAATACATTGCCATAGAGTTCAAACAGCAGGATTATTTCTTTTCTTTTGCAGCTATTTCCATAAAAATAATGAAAACTGACTGCTAAGCAATCAACCAAATATAAGCTGAATAAAACTTCAAGGTGCAAATTACACAACGTAGAAAATAGATAGTCAATACAAAAACAAAGCAATTTTGAGATGGTCTTCAAACATGTCATAAAACTAGGAAGTTTCAAGTTCAGACTTTGATTTCAGGTTCAAAAAAAAAAAAAAAAAAAAAACTGGAAATGATAATAATAATAACAATTATGTAACAATGTGGTTACTCTTCTTGGATAAGCAAGTTTGGTTACTCTTATTGGATATGCAAGTTTGGCTATTAGAAGGCATGAGAAGCATGTCAAAGTTCTTAAAAATAAAATAACATACGAGATAATAAAATACCAAATAAAGAACCAAAAGAAGAGAAATAACCAGCATCATATGTTGACTTAAATGGAGGATCATGCGACTTTGGGAAAACATATATGGTTTTCTAAAACTAGATTAAATGAGACCTAAAGATTTTTCTCAGCAATGAAGGGAATAACTCAACAGCAGCATTATTCACCTCCATGCTCAGAAAAATGCTAACAGAAATGGAAAGAGCAAACTAACCTTGGATAACTTTTCCAGCAAATTCTTCACAAACTTTATATAAGGGCAGCAGCATGTCAAATGCATAATGTTGGAAGTCATCCTGATTGATTTGAGCTGCAAACTCTTTTTCTTCCTTTGAGAAATGAGCCACAAACTCTTTAAAACAATTGAAGACAGTTTCCATCTGTGGAACATAAGACATTCAAAACAATTACTTGAGGGGCAGAAAAGGAAAAAAGAAATCTCTAAATTCAGAAAAGGAAATTTCAAGCAGGTACAACTATCAGAAGCATTCAATTCAAGCTTAGCAATTCCAATAGAACTCTTCCATGGACCAACCTGGATAGCATCCTTTTGAAGAGCAATCTCACCCATTTTTTTAAGCAAAATAGAGACAAGAAAATACTGAAGATTCTCAGACTCATCCCCATTGTTGTGGTGACGTAAACCAGAGATCAAATATAAAAGCATGCCTTTTCCTTTTCTTGAATCAAGCAGCTGGAAGGCCTCAAGAAATTGCCCCTGCTCACGTTGTTCAAGGGCAGACCAGTATTTGCAAGGATCAACACATTCCGTGCTTCCCATCAAAAAATGGATAGCAAAACTTGCAGTGGCAAGATTATGTGTGATCAGGTTGCTCATGGCATCATCAACAACTTCTGTTTCCAGCTGGCAGCAGAGGGAGACAGCTATCATGAACACACTACTTGGCCTCATAAGGAAAAACATTCCCAGCGACTTCTCATAGTCTTGCTTGATGGCCTTGTTTGCACTGGCAAAGTAGAAAGCAACAAGACGACTTGATGCATTACGTAGCCATGTGTGCGGATGCAAGAGCAACTCACATATTGCTTCCCATATATCCTGGAAATAAGTAGTGAACACAATCCCATTCACCCCAAAAACAAAAGTTAGAACAAATTAGAGAGATGAAAAACCACCAGCATTGCCCAATAGCTTTAAAAGAAGCAAAACACTTCCGGTATTACCAAAAACCTATGCTAAACGAACATGAAAGATCAAACAACCAAAGCAACCGAATAAAGGAATTTGCTTTTCCATACCTCAAGGTCCCTTTCAAAGCATAGATCATGGAAACAATTTAGAATCTTCTCCAGCAAAACCAGTGAGTAATATGCCTCTTTCCAGAAAGGAACAGCCGCATCAGAATGATCTGGAGGAGACTCAATATCAACAACTTTAATAGCAGACTGCAAGATTTTTTTGCTTACTGGCAATACACTATGAATGTATTTTTCCAAGCTTTTTTTCATAACCTCAATTGTTTTCTCCGTGTCCTCAATTTTTCTCTCGGTGACCTCAATTTTTTTAGACTTGTCCTTAACATTTTTCTTCTTGTCCTCAATTTCTTCCTTCATGACCTTGCCTTTTTTAGTCAAGACCTCAACTTTTTCAGACATGTTCTTAACTTCTTCCTCCATGCCCTTAGCTTCTTCCTTCACAAGCTCAATTTTTTTAGACTTGTCCTCAATTTCCTTCTTCATGACCTCAGCTTTTCTAGTGAAGACCCCAATGTTATCAGACATGTCCTTTATTTCTTCCTTCATGCCCTTTACTTCTTCCTTCATGCGCTCAACTTCTTCCTTCATGTCTAAACAAATCTCAATTGGTAACCCCATGGTCTGTACAGAAAAAAATTTGGAACCCATTAGAAAATGGAACATGCTGAGACAGAAAAATACTGACTTTAAACCAGTTATACAGCATAACCTTGCTCATTATGATCAGGAAAAAATATATTTTTTTATACTAGGCTAAACTCTATTCACATGAAGCACTTCTATCCACAAGAAACTAGGGTCCTTCAAATACACAAGAAAAAATAATTTGAATTGCTAAAATTTTTGTTCATCAATTAATGGCCTCCTCAAAATACATAAAATGTGTGCTCAAACAAGCATACCAAAACCCTAAAGAGTTCAAATCAAAATAGGAAATAAAATCCTAACAAGATAAAATCCAGACAGTTTGTTTTACATGACCTAAAGAACAAATATATTTTACATAAAATATAAATCCTAAATCAATAAAATTACATTATTAATGATAAGATCAAAATATTTCTTTCATTGACTGCATCAGGTATTCACGACAGAAAAAAAAATCCATAAAAATATACCTGAGCACCAAGACTTTGCAGGTTTTGCTTCTCATCCATGTACCAAGATAGAATGAAGTCCATAATGGAATTAAGTCCATCTGAGCTTATACGTCGAATGAGAAGCTTTATAACTGCACCGGTCATCAAGCGAACTTTATTATCAATATCGTTCGCCAAGCACTGGACCAAATGGATAAATAAAGATTGTCCATGTTTCTCCAAAAACTTCTTCTGAGATTCTTCTTGAGAATTGAATTCTTCAATATTGATTTTTCCACATTTGATAATTATTGCATGAAGCATTTCAAGCGCAGCTTCTCTTCCAGTTGAATGCTCATAACTGCAATAATAGCCAAGTCACTTAATGACAAACATAAACAGATAGATAGATAGGTAGGTAGATACGTATAAATATATAGACATACAAAGCGAGAGTAAAACTTGAATTGGAGAGACACATGCCTTAAATTCTTGAGCAGAAAATCTAGATGTTGTTGCAAATTTTTCTTTGAAAGACGGTAATGCAGCAGGAATTTCAACAAGATCTGACTGCATTTCTTACGAATCGACTCCACTTGGCTTGTTACCATCAGCTCTGCAACTCGAATAGCCAAATCATACATCTGGGGAACAACTAGCTTCCGATTCACAATTGCTTTTAGGAGTGAAAGGGCGATGAAAGAAGGATTTCTATCCAGGTCGACGAAAAGTGGAAATTCAATTAGCAGATGCAATTGTTCGGAGGAAAGGGTAACGTTAGTACTCCACAGAAGTGCAATTAACAATCTTAGACATGATTGCATCAAAGGACTATTGGTGTTTACAGAACTTTGGGCAATATCCAACAATGTCACCTTTATTTTATCAGCCTGGGATGCAAGGGATGGCAAAGGCAGTCTTACCAATGGAGTAAGGCATGTAAGGGATGCAGATAAAATATCTTCATACTTAGAACTCAAGCAATTGCCTAGCAGTCCAATGAATGGATCCAGCATTGATAAAAGCTGATCAGCATTTTTATCCAGTTTCACACACTTTATACGGTTTTGGAATAAACCAAGAGCAAACACAGCAATAAGATGTGAGCACACTGATTTAGTGCCAACAACTCGGCCTGAAGAAACTGTTGTCCGACTCACATCACCTCTACTGAGTAATTTTCCCTTTGCACTGGAAGAATTCTCAAAGGAACCATTATCTTCTTTGATCCCATCTTCAATGAGGCCATATATGAAAATAAATAGGTCAGTCTGATCAGCTGAAGGATTATGCTCAATGCCAGCCGCTATGTGATTTAGCATACTTTTCAATTTAGTTTTCACCTTTGATGTCGGATGCTTCAGCATGTGAGTTGTGACAGGTGAAATAAGTTTCAAAGCATGGCTTTTGAATGTTATGTTTTGTGCAATCATTTTCAAGGTTTCAAATGATTTTTGCTTCCTAGTTTCTTTTGTTTTTGAAGCAAGCTTTTCCACCTCTTTCTCTTCAGCAACATCTCCAAGAATATCATTCTCTACAACAGAAAGAAGATCTTCCAAACAATAATCCAACTTCCCACAGACAGGACCAGATAGAAACTTCGACAAGATAAAGTTGAGACTGTATCCCAGTACATGGAGCTCATACCCTCGCTTCAAGGTAGCTCGTAAAACCCTGACTATGAACTGCAAATATTCCAGCCCAAGTTCTTTCAAACAAGCGGACAAAGCCAGCCTCGCTTCATCACGAATACTTTCCAGCCGACTCTTTAAATGGTTTGCAATGCGATGAATGATACTTGGAAGCTGTGAATCGATTGTGTCCCCCGGAAGCAACTTTAGAACTTTTAGTGCTGCCACACTAATGTTCACATTGACCTTATCAGAATCAGAATCCAGTAATTTTTGTATGTTCGGGAGCACAGTTTTATGAAGACATGCCTGTATTTCAGAAGGCCCAACAGAGGCACCGTGCTTGTGTGTCATAGCTGAAGAAGTACCACCAACACATTTGCGCGATGCGGCCGTAGAACAACTATCAGACATGTTGGCACCTAAACTGCTGTCAAGAGTGTCTTTGACTTCTTGGCTGGAACAAATTTGTGAAAAATGAAACTGGTCCAAGATAGAGCAAATTAGGCGCAACAAAATCTTCTGCTTGTCGAGATGCACATTCATTTCTTGAAAGCACCTAATCAATAAGGTATAATATGACTTCCATTCCATGAGAGCAGAAATTGAGGCAAGAGCTTCCAAACATGCAGATTTAATATGCTCTCCCTTTCCTACTTGTTCTTCAAGCAACATATTGAAGAAAAGGGGGATAAATATTTTATTTAAGATATCCTGGAAGATAAAAAAAATGTGCTGAGTTTCAGTTACATGGAGAAATATTTGAAGTATAACATGAGAGGTTAAGGTAATTACCTCTGACACGATACTTTCACTGATAACAGTTTTAAAACGCAACAGAGCCCTTGCTCTCATGCGCTTCTGCAATAATAAAGAAATTGTAAGGCTCTTATTCTCATGAAGAAACAGATAAATGACTTCTGATGCAAAAATTCTCTAAGTTCTCGTGTAAAAATGATTTCATTAGCGAGTTACTATTAAAAAAGCTGGTATAAATAAGAACAGCTATAGTAATAAACAATTTCTCATTGCATTAAATATAATAAAAGCAACTATAGCAATGAACACATTTCTCAATGCATCTTTTTCAGAATTCATGAACTGACTATTAAAAACAGTTCAAAATAAAAGCCACTTTATAATACATGCAGACATTTTAAAGGATGAAGATGATATCACATTTAATACATGTAACTCGGATATAACGAATAAGAGAAAAAAAGTTACCTGTAAGTGAATAATATTATTGAAAAAATCTAGTTCAGCATCTTCAGAGCACAGAGCTTTGAGTGAACTAAACTTTGCCACCTCTGGAAGCTTCAACACCATATCTCGCAACAATTCAATCCATTCCTGAGAAGAAGCAATTCAGTACAATCATGACAATACCAAAAACTTCTCATTCTATCCCGTAAGTCTACTTTTCCCTTGAAAACACAATGATTTTTTCAATTTTTATGATCTGCTTATTCCCAGCCTACATTGCTGCACAATAATCTTTGGATCCAAATACAAATTTTTATGAAGGGGAAAGTTAGAAATATGCATAAGTTAAATGGTGGTCACTGGTCATCCTATATAGTCGATTCTACTAAAAAAAATGATATTTTTTTACAGGACCCATTTTATGGAAGAAAGGGAACAGTTCAAATGATGAAATAAGTAACATGATAACGAAATTCCAGGCTTTGATAGCTCTGCAGCAGATCTTCTTTCGCTAGCTGAGCCAATAAAGTTCACATAAATTCTATTATAAAGCAGGGGTTAAAATGAATCCAATTCCCACAACCAGGCTGAAAGCCTCATCGTACCTTTCTAACTGCACTTCTTGCCTTCATTGCATTGCCCATATATTTCAAAAGAAACTTATTTATCATGCGTTGAATAGATGCCCTTGTCCAGCAACCTTCACAATTTGTCATCACCGGTTGATTTTGATCTTCTCCGCAAAGAATTGTGGAGGAAAATTCAACAAATGAGAGCAATGAGCTATAAGCACTGTGCCTTAAAGTTATGTCACTTGACGACATATCGTACACACAATGCGACAAAATAACTAATGCTTGATCTTCTGGGATAATATTGAATAAACCAACACCAATTTTTTCGTAAGCTTTGAAAACTGTATCGTAATCAAGGGCACCCATCTCAGTGGCAGAGATAGCATTCAATTCATGTAGAAGTTTTGCCTGCATTAAGTCCACATAATCAGAATTCAAACACAAAATTCAGAAAAAGGAGAAGTTCCTCCAATAATAACCACGTGAGAAGTAATCAGAAGACAATTATTACCACAAGAAGGAAAGAAGGATCACTTTTAGCGAGAGCATCAAGAAGATCACAAATAGGCAACCGCACATCCAATCCAACAGAAGTAAGAAGTGGAGAGACTGCTTTAAGAATTTTTGAACCACTCTCATTTCCTACAACTGGAACAATGTCTCGAACTAATTGCAAATATTCAATGCAAACATCTGCAATGACCGATTTTATACTATCAAATATCCAGGTAGAAGTTAAATAGAATCAAAACTACACTTGGGGAATACTCTCACCTGAATCTTTATATCTCATTGCTAATGATGAGAGCAAGATATCCACAAGCTGCCTTGCTGGCAATTGATCCTTTATATACTTTGATAGGAATTTGAAAATTCTAATTTGAGTCTCTCCAGGATACCTGGCCAACGGAGGAAAAAGAGGGGCACTTAACTAGCATATCTTATTACTGATTCACTAATGAACAAAAACAAACACACATTTTGAAAACGACACCAATCCATTTTTAAACAGAAAGATCATGAAGCTAGAAATTAATGATATCAATGTACGCAACAAGATCGATAAAGACGGCAACAAATAGCATTACTTGGTAAACACATAGATGCCAAAAAAGCAAAATATTTTATTTGCGAAATATCTTCACGACAAAATGAATCTCATGTTCACTTATGCATGCGCACGCACACATACAAAACAAATCATCCAAGTTTATAGCAAACCAGCAGCAAATTAATAGGAAGCTTGCTTTGAAAAAGACATCAAGAAGAGCTTAAGTCCCCTATCAAATTTTCAGGGGTAAAAATAACCTTTGGGGAAAATGAAAGGAGAAAAAGATAAAAAAGAAAAGATGACCGATTGACCCTTTAAGATACAGTCAATAAATATTGAAAATCATTTTCCTATCAATAAAATGAAGTTCATTTCTTCTCAGTGGAGCCTCAAACATTATGACATTTGAAATAGAGCACAGACCTAAACCTCTCAGTTATGATTATTTAGGATATTTTCTGAATATAGCCTTCTGCAATTACCAAAATCAGTAAACTGCCAAATTTTATTTTCATACATACACATAACTTCAACTCATGTAAAGTAAAGATATTTAAGTTTCTCACAAATTGTATGTTGTAATTCAGGAATGAAATAAGTTGAACGGCAGTAATCTGTAAAACATCTAAATCAGGTGCAAAACTAGTCACGAAGTGAAAATTCATTGCTATTTCTCAATACTTGCAGAATCGAGTAGTTCTGAATATGTATTCAACTTAAATGCATTCAAGAATTCTTTATGACAGAATGTGGAGTGCAAGGCAAGCAAAATTAACCATTAATTTGAATACAAGTTTGTGCTTTTCATATATTTCTTCCGGGATTAAAAAATAGACAACTACATGCAAACCATTTAAAGTGCATCCTTAATACCTCTTGGTTGCTTTATCACTTTGAAAGAGATGGTGCAAGCTGTTGATGAGTTTATCAAGGTGCAGAAGTAGAAGTCTTCGTGCAGCATTGTTTTCATCATCCAAATTGTCTTCAAGATTCAACAGATTCTCGATGAACTTAAGAACACAAGATGTAATAGCCTCGGAAGCTGTCGGGATAGTTAATATTGAAAAAATATCAGGAGCAAGATTCTTTTCTCTGAACAGAAGTGGTACAAGATGGGAACTTCCACTCATTGCCAAAAAGCATGAAAACAATGAACTTGGTTTCTCACTACTAGAACCCTCCTGCTTGAAACTGTCAATTAAAGATTTCACCGATTTGAAGAACAATTCCCAGAATTCATTGCCAAAATCATGATCATCATACTTGTTCAGAACAAAGGAAACAATTCTTAGGCACAAAGACCGCAAATCCTTGAACTGCTTCACAGCTGTGCTTCTCTGCGCATGGGAAGAATTTTCATCTTAAACGACCAAACATTAAAAGACAAGTGAATGCTAAAAATAAAAAAAAAACTATTGTGATCTTCCAATAACATGGAATTAGCTTTTCAGTGAGTTTGTCCAAGCAAATGTACAACAACAGTAATCCCAGCAAGGCAAGTGACAAAACATCTAAAATGAAAGGGAGGGAGAGAAGGGAAGATCAAAGTGCTATTTTGCAATCAATAAGCAAACAATGAATAAAAAGGGTCTCTTCTCCGGCTTTCTTAATTATGTGAGCATAATTTACTATCAGTCTGCTGCTGTTATTTAGTGTGAAAAACAAGACAAGCAGATGTGTACAAACCAGAATTAACTAAATCTTGACATTAAACCAAGGATTCACTATAATCAGGACATTTAAACATTACCGCTGCTTGATTTAATATCGCATTGTCGTTCTCGTACAATTTCTTGTTGTCAGTAGAATTGTCTTCTACTACAGAAGATCCAGCATCCTTCTCAGCATCAAGACTTGAAGTGCAGCTTCCCAATAACCGAACCACGCATCCCATTAATAGATCCAGAAAAGGTATGATACGTGATTCGTCAAAAACTCCAAGAATATCTTCGACAACATGCAGAAAGCCAGACCTCTGCTTCCAAGAAAGGGCCATTATTTTTTCCTGGGTGAAATGCTTCAAGATATTTGAGGTCTGAAATTCATGCACAGAACTCTTGCATAAATTCCAAAACAAATTTGCAGCACTATCAACTCCCTCTGGTAAAATATGCAAGGGCTTTAATAATGACACAAAGAAAAGAGTCAACTCGCCAACATCGAGTTGAGCTATGAAGCGAAGAACTGCCTTTCGTTGATTTATACTTGTATGCTGCATAAAAAAACAATATGCAACATTCAATAATATAAGAAACTGCAACTAAAATCAGACAGATGCCACCAATTAGCTAGATCAATGTGGCAGCTCTTGAACTAGGGCATACCTTTTGAGAGGCAAGTGTCTTCAGTTTTCGCACTTTTGGCATCAGGAGGAGAATAACAAGAGGCACAAGATTGGCTCTGTGGCCCTCTTCAATGACCAAGGATTCTCTGCTTAAATTCCATGTTATTAGTTCTTCTCTTAAATGGTTTGAACTGATCAAGTTTCTCAAATGTTGCTCGTATTGGAGCAAGAAATCATCTTTCCAGGTTAAGAGGCAATCTAAAACATTTATTTGTATATGAACATCATCTTCATCAATAAGCCTGGTAAAAACACCCAAGAAATTTGCCAAGTTTTAGAATAACTCAAACAACCAATATTAAAAAAGAAAAAGAGAAGGAAAAAATAAGTATAACAACAAAGTATCAACTAGAACTGCACCAACCTTATTTGCAGAACATCTTTTACAAACTGACTTTGATAGAAGGCCTTAGAGTTCCTCATAAGTTTCAACAAGTTTAACCATTCTTTGAGGATGCCCTTCCATTCCTTACCTTTGCAAGCATCTGAATTGAATAATCCCACACTGCACTTACAAATTCAAATGTAGACACACAATGATGTTATAAAGCTTGCAAGATGTCATCCAAACCAAAAGCAGTGTTCTCCCTACACAAGAGAAGGACAAGAAAATGTGCCTACCTTGCAAGATCGTTACTATTGTAGCCCAAAAACTTCAAGAACAAAGGTACTATTTGTCGAGAACGAGATTCGGCAACAGAGGGAATTTTTTGCAGAGACTGAAGCAATGAAGATAGAACAGTGGCACATGGTGTGCTATCAGATACAGGCTTGACAAATGAAATGAAACGCTCAACCAAGTCTGTGAACATGCAAGAGAAATATCAAATTTCTAGAGTGTAATAACATAGCTACAAACTTAGCAAGAGAACTAGACTCAATCATCACCTATCTTAGCATTGTATAAAAGCCTTTCTATTTTTCATTTTACTAGGTTAATCAAGGATAAAAAACACCAAGTGGATATTACCCAGAAACATATGAGCTATAGAAGAAACAAATTTATCCTGTTCAAGCAACTGAAAAGAAACTCACTATAGAAAAGGAAAAACCTGCACCATTGACAAGTCGAAAGCCCTAACCAAGGGCATCATATGAAATAGGAGTTAAGCATCTATCAATACATTCCTTTTTGGTTCACTGAGATACCCATGGGCCTTGCGCTAACACAATTTTGGGCTACAAAATACATTTCTTACCACTAGATTGTTCCGTTGGGGACAACTATTTCCTTAAAGGGGAAAAAAGGATTAATAAATACAGGGAAAAGCTTTCATAAATAAACATAAGAGCGAAAATCATGTCACATACCACTGGACTGGTCAGACAATTCAGCATTTCCTCCAGGTTTATCATGAAACATCTGAGATATATGTTGGCAATGTTCAAGATAACAAACAAATTTGTCCCATGCAAGGGCAACGTGCTTGTCAATTAGAACTGCAAGGCACTCAGATGCTGAAGCCCATGGATAACTAAAACGGTTGTGGAAGATGCCAATCATCCCACTCAACAAAACTGGTATATAAGCCTCATCTATTCTTCCAGCAGAAAGCCCCATCTGTATTCTAGAGATCAATAGCACAACTTTCCTGCCGGTAGATATTGAAAGTGTACTTGCCTCGATCGAGAGAAGAAGTTGAAGAACCTGTTATTTCAAGCAGCAGTAGCCAGAGAATCAAAAAAGAGTCAAATAACGAGAGGAGCAAGACCTTAGATATGATACATACATCAATGTTCTGACCATCCTCAGGGCATGTCTGAGAAGAATCCAATTTCATTTTCTTCTCAGGTGGCTGATCTATAGTTGACATTTGACAACCTTGAGGTTCATAGTGACACAAAATTCTTAGAGTCGGAACACGAATCCCCTTGTCAGGATTGCACAAATTATCAGCAAATATGCCAAATGCATCCACAGCCTTCTTCCCTTCAAACTCAGGATGATATGTTTTATGGCTGGTGTCTGCTTCCAGTATCGGCCTAAAATATTAATGATAGCAGAAGGTTATAGAAGTGCACAGTTTTCAGTCAATACGTACTTAAGATTCAAGTAGAACTCCCTTGTAAAAACAAAAAAACAAAAAAATATCAAACAAATCAACCTACCCATGCACATGGTCCAAATAATCAGCAACGGCAGACAATACTTGTGAGGATGACTTGTATGTTTTTGCAAGACGCAAAACTTTGCTTGTTTCTTGCCCACATTTTTTACCACACTTGTAATAGGAACTTAAAGTAGCACCAACTAAGCTTTGCCAAGTATGTTTAGGAAAACCTGCAATATTTTCTGAAAGAAAAGAATATAAGTAACCTAGAATCGAGCAAAAGAAAATCTAGATAATGAAACAAGCTGACAAGCATGTTATGCCAATGAGTTATAACATTTTAACAACAACAACCACCATTTAACACTCTTCATGAGGCTACAACTTCTCAGTTATATTTTTATACTAGTACGGTGTCTTTGGTAGGGTGGTCCAGGCTTGGAACACAGTTTGAGGAGTAACTGGTCAAAGAATCACATAGATACTTCTGAAACAACACTTTTTATGCCGAACAATGTGCATTTGCAGTTTGCAAGTTGTGACCACAACCCCAAAATGTGCAGCGATTTTTCACCAACTTAAACCTAGATTTACAGTATAAAATTACCATAATTCTTATTCTTCCTTCAGTTTCCTGGCTGAAAATGGATAAAAATGCAGGCTGAAAGCAATTTGCTATTTTTAAGACTCAAGTAACAGATGGATATTAACAGTTCCATTTTCTTTATCCCACTATCTAGCATGAATTTGAATCCTTAGAGCTCATGTCTTTACTTATGTAGGGTCATGCATAATTAGATCTTTCTTGTATGACCGGGCAGTACAGACTGATATATCACGAATTTGTAGCAAAAACAGACACTGAAGCAAGAGATTCTTTGTGGGTACCTAGACTTGTTGAATCTGTACGATCAATAACAATGATATCTTTTGAGAACTCATTTGATAGATTTATTTTAAGATGTTTGATATCTTCACAATATTCCTATTACATCCTTCGAATGCAAGATAATATAATGTCAGAAAATGCTTTATCCGGCAGTCAAAAATGTGGATTTAGAACAGTAAATGCCACTAATTGTAACCAAGAGAAAAGGATTTTCATAATTATTAAGCTACAAACTCACTCAGGCCAATAATGTAATCATAAATAACAAGAAATATAACATGGATCACACTTTTGACATCTTGATCAATAGCATAAAAAGAAACTTTCACCGCAGGATTCAGGGAAAGGACAGGCTCAATTAAATGCAAGTATAACATATACAGCCCATTCTTGAAAACAAATGTAGCAAAGGGTGGCAAGTTCTTAAACTTTCATTAAACTTGAAAATATTATTTTACATGGCAAAGAGATAAAGAGTTTTACCAGCCTCAACCATCAAAAGCTGGTCGAGTGCATCTATCAGATCCATTAACAAGGATGGCATTTCTTGAAGGTCCATCATGAAAGGATAGCAGCAGACGACTCCCCAAAGCAGAGCCAACTCACCCCTTTCAATTGGAGTAAAAGAACCATTTCCATTAACGATATTACCAATCACACCCACCCAGGAGCGCGCAGTCTGTTGCAGAAAACCAGTAATCCTTGAAAATCGTCCTTCTGGTGTACCATCTAAAAAGCTGGATCTAAGAGGATCCTTTTGCAGTCTCTCACAGAAAGACAAAAGCAGAAATACAATCTCTTTCGGTGAAGTTTCCATTAAATCATTCATCGCACTGAAAATCCAATAGAAAATGTCAAAAGCTATGCGTCCAAACTACAGACCATTGGGGCCATCCCAAAATCAACTGTAAATATAAATCTTACCTCAAGATATTGGCTCTGAATTCATATAGTATGCATGGGTCTTTCACCATTAGCTCACTTAAAAAGGTCAAACTGCTGAAAACCCAAGCCCGAAGGTAAGCAAGAAGAAAAAGAACGCAGAGACTAAATGGATAGTGACACCAAAAATTGAACTATTTCATGACAGACAATACCTTGAGTTCCTCAACTTGAAAACAGGAGCCCATTGCAACGAACTATGTGAGATGGTAGCCATATCATTGGCACTCTTGAGCCCATCAAGAGTGCATAGCAATAATTGTAGAACCTTATCAATAACTTCAGATAAATGGTTTTCTTCTTTTAAAGCACCATAAGGAATGATAAACTTCTGAACAAGGTTTTTCACACATTCAAGCATTGGTTGGTAATCTGTTCAACATCAAGGCAGTTTAAGATCACAATGCAAAGAGTTCTATGAAAACGCATGCAAACACAAATAACAACTTAGTGGGTCAGTTAAGGAATCAAAAACCTTTACCAATATTACCACTTACCAGAAATTTTCCGACCGTCATTAATTTGGGCACTTGATATAAGCAGTGACACAAAGCGAATTAGACATGGCAAGTGATCATTAATTGCATAGTAGCCTATTTTCTGATATAGGCTATTCCACATAAAATTTAATTCCTCTGGTTCTAGCTCCTCACATAAACGCTGAAGGGTTGTAGTTAGAACTTCATCAACAGTGTTAGGACCTGCACATTGAAATGGGGACCATTAAAGTTCCTAACTAGTCAAATAACAATTTCCATCGCTGTCTTTCTTCATTCCCCATCAGTAGCATTCAGGAAAAAAAAATAATTAATTATTTAATTAATGGGAGCACAAGAAATTACCAATTGGGTAATCATCCATTAGATTGAAGAATCAAACAACCATATCAAGGCATCAAACTACCACAGAAAAAATTAATTAAGGGAACATTGCAGGTCAAAATTACTACAAAGTGAAAGTTTAGATATCAGGATGTATCTTAAAATTTCAACCAATCTTCATAACGCTCAATCCATCAGAACCTTGCACTACATTTTTTTGCTCTTGGAGGCAGCTGACTTGCGCTACTTTGGATCAAAAGATGACCTTCATAAGTAGCACCTTTAAATCAATCTTATGATTTTAATTAAATGTAAAATTGTGCTCTCACAAATCCAATAGTATTTTGATCCCTACATGAAAACTGATAACTAGTTTACTACAGAATATACCCCCGATAAAAGAAAAACAATCCAACTAATTGTCCATTTTCTGTTGGCTTGAATGTAAATGAACAGGTTAATTGATTGTTAGTATTGCCTCACATCACTGTCTGAAGGAACAGTGTTATTCCCATTTTGAAATTCCTAAAGTAATCTTTATTTCATAGTCAAGGCACCCACCAAAGTCAAGGCCTTCATCTGGACAGTGGTGCCCAACAAAATTACATCAATAAATGGGTAAATTGATTGTTGGACTTTTTGTAGTTCATGGGTTTTGGGAGGAGGGCAGAGTTAAAAGATTATGGTTTTGCACCATTAGAGCTGTCATTTGGGGTTCTTAATTGGGAGAGAGATGCTGGAGCTTTCAGGAACTGGTACACTACTGGAGAATTGTTGTCGGATAGGATAGTTTTCCTTCTTCCTTGAAGTGCCATGCTTCAGGTGCTTTTAGGGGCTGTTTCCTTGATCCTTAACTGGTTGTCAGCAGCATTGAGCTGCTTTTTTCCCTAAGGATGACTGATCCTCCATCAAGTTTTTGAACTTTTGTAATTCTTTGGAGGATATCTGAATATGATTTTCTTCTATCTAAAAGAAAATTATATTTTCATACAAGTCCCAGCCACTTGAACCATCCTCTCCCCTATCAGAGATGTGCATGCATAACCATGCACACACACACATGATGGAACCAATACAAACACGTAAAAACTAACATTGGAGGGAACTTTCTCTAGTGTCTCAGTAAATGTGAAGCAGAGAAACATTTCTAGAGGTGCAGGGAGCCATTTGGTGCCATCTAACTACATGGGAAGCATACAAGAAAGACAAACCACTAGAAAAGAACAACAACTGTAATGTCAAATTCTTCAGGAGAAAAAATTTCATATGTGATCTATTTTAATAAATCGTAGAGCATTACTTTTGATATGTGGATTGATTTTCTCAAAAACACAAAGCAGTTGGTGATTGAAGCAAGATTTCCACAAATGATGTGTAAGATGGTCTACAAATATCAATTAGGAAAAAACAAAAAAGCAGATCTTTTTCTCTCACACCTTTACAAACTTAAAATAAAAGAACTTCAAATTTATATCTTAATGATTTAGAAAGAAGCAATAAAATGGAAAGAAATAGAGCCATAAATAATCAATAGCAGACTGTGCCTTAGTGGAAGAACTTGCCTTGATCGCAATCACTGCCAATGGTGAATATTTTTTTGCCTGTCAATTGCTGCAATACCCGATCCGGTCTTGAATAAGGCCTTGACATGGTTCCTCTCATAACATAATAAAGCAAAGCACTGGCTCCATATTTTCTCACAGGTAATGGTTTCTTGACAACCTCAAGCATGACCTTTGCAACACCTGTAAATAAATAGGCACATCATTACGTTAAATAGGAGCTCAAATTCAAAACGAGAATCCAAAGAACCACCAGACCAAGAATTTGAGTTCATTCACTCAAACACTAAGGACCTCGAACCTAAAAACAGAATGCAATTACTTCTTTTTTTCCAATTCTTTTTGGACAAAGAACAAGATCTTAGAAAAGTAAAGAGAAAGAGAGATACAAAAAAGACGATTGTTGTCCTCAAAAACAAAGATAAACAACAATCTTTGGCACCCCACTGTTTAAATCATCAACAAAAATACATTCAGCCTTTAACCTAACCAAGTCTTGATCAAAGGAAGAACAAGAGATAAAAAAGCTGATGAGAAAGAAGGCAGAAACGTCCTTCTCTACCACATACCCTCAGTAACCACGTAAGAAAATTATGCAACAAGAATTTTTTCCAATAAATTAAGGTGTCATAACGTGTCCCACCTAAAGTTAAAAATACAATTCATTCCTCATTGAGCTTCGAAGTATAATCAGTAACCCATCCATAATTGTCCAAAGTCCAAACGGCAATAGGTAAGAAGCATCTGGCATTCTCAACCCATAGATTTGTTATTTTGCGAGATGATAGAAGATAAGCCAAGATTCCACAAGTTATATAATAGTTGGTCTTCAACTAGGATTTGGGGATTTAACTAAGTTTGTGACAAAAGATATAAAGCAGAAACTCAGAGAACCATTTGTGCAGTGAAAAATAAAAAATGATGCTTGAAAAAAATGGAAAAATAATTTCAGTAATGCATCATGTGTGAACAGGAGAAACACACTTTGCTTATAAACATGTAAAACAGAGATGTTTTTTTTCCTTTTCATTAAGATTGGAAAATAGAAACAGATTGATCATGCAAGGGACTGATTCAATAAACTACAGTAGGGTATACCTTTCCTAAGCTGCCCATCAGAAGCATTTCTCAGCAATAATGATGTTGTTGCAGCCATAAATTCTTGAACATACTCCTTAGGGTAATATCTTAATTTTGCTGTTAGCCTACAAGAAAAGAAGAAGAAGAAAGGATAACCATATAAGAAACACACTCGCACAAGCAATACACTTACAATCTCCAGTCTGGTTTCCAGGAATTTGTGAAGGCTCAGCATCTAAAGTTCCTCATAATAAGATTGGTTTTTATCCACCCAACAAAATGACAAAAGATTCCAGCAAAATAACTACAAGCTCTTCATTTACCAGAATAAATCAAAATAGCGAATATGGTACTTACTTGAGCACATCTACAAGCCTATTGTTTTCCAAAAGAGATTTCTGCAAATACATCAGAATATATGACCATGCCACAAAAATCTGCAAAACAAAGATCAAACGTTTAGAGATAAATATCAGGCTAGATAGCCCTATAAAAATGGAAACCATGGATTAGCTACAAAGAAACCAAGGCCAAACCTGCTCAATGATATCTGGCTCCCTATCAGCACCACTTATGAGGAGAGACACCAATGAATCAACAATCCTCGGTAGAAAGCTAGGCAGACAGAAAACAAATATGCACATGTAACAAATTATACAACAGAAATGACTAAACAATTTATAACGAAGAAAAACAGCCGGTTCACAAAGGCAAAGCAACTATCAAAATTAAATGGGGATCTATTTAGCAATCTGCAGCTCTATTCCACTCAAACAAGGAAACGAATTTAGTAAATATGTGGCTATGATCAAAGCGCAGTCCAAAAGTTAAAGCCAACTTTGACTACCCAAAAAAACAAAAAAGGGAGAAAACTAAAGGAGTACAAATACAAGAACAAGAATAAAAGGGGGAGAGGAAGAGAAAGCTTAGAGATAAAAGTTTAAGATGTGACTGAGCACCAGAGATGAATCAACCTGCGCTCGTCGTAGCTGAAAATATAAAAATCAAGTAAAGTTGCAACATAATTTTTGGTTAGATCTTTTAAAGAGTGCTAGAGGCTGTCACAACTAAAGCACATAGGACATTATATGATGAAAATACATAAAGTAGGACCTAAGTGTATAACACATACTGACCAAAGGAAAGAAACAGACTTTAAATGCAGTGGAAAATGAGAGCAAAAGGCAGATGACATAGATATATGATTTTAATACATCTTTTAATGCCAACCCCCCCCCCCCCCCCAAAAAAAAAAAAAAAAAAACACACACACACACACAAAAAAAGAAAAAAGACAATTAATCCTCTCTAACAAGATATTTTCCACATTACAAAAATCTTAGTGCATGATAACCAACTTTATCCTCTCCCTCGTCTACCCAATGCACAGCAACCCTCTTCATTCTCAACCTTGGATCACCTTAAAGGCATTATTGTGTTTCTAGTGCAAGAGAGATGGGTGGAAAATTGATCACCTAAGTTTGCATTGTTCATTTGCTTTGGCGTCCTTCATAAATGTACAACATTAGACCATCTTTTCACCAGCTTCTTTTTCTTTCCTTTCCTCTTCTTTTTTTTTTCCGGGGGGGGGGGGGGGGGGGGTGTGTGATTTGGGGGTGGTTCTTATGTTTCATAATATGTGAAGCTTAATTCCAATTACCAAAGACAGGAAAATCAATGACAGAGAGGAATAAGGGGCAGGAACTCACGAGACAAAGTCATCAGGAAGATCTCTACATAAAGCTGCAATCAACCTGTATACAAAAAACGATTAATTTATGTCAAACTGCATAAAGTGGAAGGAGAGGTTAAAAAATAAATAAAAACCAGAATTTGGACAGTTCTTTTCCTCATGGAACTGGTTTCCAAATTGCCCAAAGATTTAACACATTATTAAATAATCGTTTTAAATAACAGCATGGAATGCAGGGCAACCATACTTGAGAAGCTGAGAAAGCTTGTTGACCTATTCCATAATTGGTCATCTTCTGTTTCTGAAAAGAAGTTGGCCATTCTCTTGCACAACAACAAAAGAGCTAATTTCCTTCCTGTTACAGACCCGGGCATCTTTGAGTGCGAACACACATTCAAATCAAAAACCTAGGGGAAAATGGCCAGCTAGGTAAGACCTAAGTAAACGTAGGTTTGCATTATTCCCAAATGTTTGGGCTTTTACAATTGCTATCCAAGGACACCTCAATCAAACACCACCTACAGAGAACCTACATCTCTCACCAATAAGAACCGGACTCACCAACGAAGCCATAGTACTAATTCACCAGTAATCCCATGCAGAAGATAGTAAATAAACATTACTGTATTTCCAAGTAAAATACCTAACATGCATTTGATAGCATTTGATAGCATTTTCTTCCTTGACAGAATTTACACCATGACAAGGTTAGAATCTAACACCTACAGTAAAATTCATAAAAAACATCTAAAAGCATTTTTTTTCCTCCATAGAACTTCCAAACTTCAGTGAGGGGTTTTATCTAAGAAAAAGCAGAATAATAATTCAGTAAAACGGGTTTGCATTATACCTGAGAATAGCTTCAACTGATAGTCGTGCTTTCATTTGTAATCTTGAAAGAAGTTGCAAAAAAATCGTTTCCTTGTGTAATAGCACCAAAGGTAATGTTTGTACAAAGGGCATCATCTCCTCGTAAAATGAAATGAAATCTTCTGCCGTGTTCAATTCCTGAATTGTGATGACGCAAACTATAAGTAGAATTGCTTCTGTACGTGAATGTTTCAAAACAAAAACCATAATTCCCCCAATTACACAGCACTCACCTTGCCATATACTCATCTCTTTAAAAGCAAACTTCCCAAACAAAAATAAATAAACATAAACATAAAATCTAGCAAACACAAGGTTGAATTGCGTACCCTATATTCGATGAGGCAGTCTCGCAGAAAAGTGGACCCCTCTGATGGGGCAGACTTAATTTTACTAAGACTTGAATAAACATCAATTTCAATGTCTTCAATTCTCTGTGAGAAAGTCTTGAACTGCAACAACATAAATTTAAAAAAAATAAAAAAAAGCAATAAATTGCGTTAATAACCGAGAAAAAGGAAGAAATTTAATTTAAAAAATCGAATTGATATTATGTCTGCGCGTTGTAGGGAGGGAGAGCGAAAGCCTTACAACAAAACGGCGGCCATGGAGACCAGGGGATTTGTTGAGCGACTTAACCGCCCGAGCATGAGACGGCGTCGCCATGGTGAGTCTATCTGTCAGTCAGTTTCAAATTTCGAATGGCAGACTTCTTAGGGTTTAAAAAATTCAGTTCAGTTGTTAGGGTTTAAGAAAGAGGAAGAAGACATTTTGGCGTTGGCGGTTAAAAAAAAAATCATTTATGAAATATTTATATTTTCGTTTAGTGGGTTTGGGCTGGGTTAATGGGCTGGGCTGGTCAGAAAAGCAGAATCATTTCTCTTCGGAATCAGATTGGTAGGACGGACGGACGGGCTTCGTGAGTAGATATTTCGTTATGTTTCCAAATTCGTCCTTAAAATTTTCCAAATTATTATAGTGGTCCCTACACTATATTTATATAAATATTACAAGAACTCTAAAATGTAATTTTTCATATTATGTATTAATTTAATATATCAAGAAGTATAAATTAATGGCAACAATGAAATATTAATTATTTACACCCGTAATTAATAATACAGGTTTATAAAAGAAATAAACAATATTAAGTGAAAAAAAAATTGAGTTTGTATTATATTCCCAATATATTCACAAACTAGAGGAGAGGGTAATTTGAGGTTTTTTAAATTTGTGTGGGATCATAAAGCAATTCTCGATGAGATAAAATAAGAGTCCAGGTTGATGTTCACCAACTCATATTCAACCATAGAGGCAGATGCAGAAACCTGGACTCTAGAATGCCTTTAAGCCGCCCCACCCCGTCATGTGAAGCCACGTGCAGATTCAAATTTGATAGAGGATAAGAATCAAAACTTGCATACATAGGCTTTAGTTAATTAAATTATACATCAGTCCTTTTATTTTTGAATAATAAATTAGTTGGTCCTTTTATTTTAAAAACTAATTATAGAAAACAATAAATAAATAAATTTATATAATGAAAAGAGTGATGCAAAATAAAATATTTTATAGAATAAAATATTTTACATTAAACATGATCGATACTGATTAAATTATTAATTAATTACTTAGTTCGTTTATCAAAACTAAATTGGCTAATATATAATTTACTCTCAATATTTTATATTGGGTCTGTCTTCGGTGCAGCATATTCGAAGGCATGCAGAAGCAGTCTTTAATGGAGTCAATTACAAATTAGTCCTTTTAATTTGAAAAAATAAATTATTTGATCCTCTTTCTAAAAAACCTATGTTAATGACTCAATATACTATTTACCCAATATTTTAAGTCAAGTTTATAAACTGAAAAAAATCATTTTTTACTATTTACGTAATATTAATTACAATTATGTATATTTATGTTAAGTGTGAAAGTTATATTTTATATGGCTGTAATTTTCAACATTAAGTTTTATCAAATATTCCTATTACAAATACGGTTTTGGATTTTTAAAAAAATCTATAATAATTGTTTTTGACAATATAATCATTATTATTATTTTCGTTTTAAATTATTTGGCTTTCCAAAATAATTTTGATTAATTAACTTTGGTTTTGACAAAAACATAGTATATTAAATGATAACAATGAAATATAACTTAACCTTTAAATTAAATTTATGTATAAACTTAATCTAAAGATCAAAAGTTTTTTCATAATTTGTTTGAGATTTAAAAAAAAAATTACAAATAAGTTTTTAGTTAAGAATTCATGAATTTTAAAATTTTTTTTAGATTATTACAAGTTTTTAGTTAAGAATTTGAATGAAGAAAAAAACAATAGAAGAAAATTTATGAAAAACACAAGAAATAACTGTTCAAATACAAAATTTTAATTAAAAAAATCATAAAATTGAATAAAATTTTTTTTTTTACTTTTTATTTGGTATATTTTTGTGGACCTCTAATATAAAACACTTTCAAACTAAAATAAATTTATATGTTCTCGTCCGACTCATCTTAAATAAATAAACTTTTACTCTTTTAGCTCGCATATATTTAGCAAATCATCTAAATTATAGTTTTGACCAACAAAATAACAAAAATTAGGGAAAAAAAATTAGCCAAAATCATGCTTGATATGCTTAGTTTTTTTCTTTCCGATTTCATATAAAAAAAAAACAAAAATTCGATGTATTCATAGATTAACCACACAATTCATAGTGCGTTGCACTATGAAAGCAATAACTCTAAATAAAACATGCACCAAACCACAAAATACCAGCCTTTTAAAAAAAAAAAAAAAAAAAAAAACACAACAACACTACCATAGCCAACATTAAGACTTAGAAGTGATCGAACTTAGCTCATTATACACCATCTCGCCGAATTCGATGGTTATTCCAAGCTCGTGGCTAAGCACAAGTTGCTAACTAGTAAGTTCCTAAGAGTAAGATGTTTTTTGTTCAAAATAAATGGTTCATCATGTGATCCAAGCATATTAATTTACCTTATATAAATAAAAACTCTAGTTTTTGCATAAACGATAAGCATGACTAAATTGAAAAATATGAGTTGATATTAAAATTTATAGAAAATAGATGTTCTATTTAAACTTTTTAGTTAAATAAAACTTTTATTCCTTACTAGTTGACATCGTTTGATGTATCAATTTTTATATCTTTAACGTATTTTAAATTTATTAAAACGGAAAAACCTAATAGTAATATATGCATAAATAAATTTTGTTATGTACACTTTTTATTACACATACACATAAGGACATTACTATTACATATAGGGGTATGCAAACGGTTCGGTTAACCGAAAACCAAATCAAACCGAACCGTATTAAGATATTTGGTTCGGTTTTGAATTTAAAATTTACTATTTATAACCGAACCGAAAACTCGAAATTTATTTCGATTCGGTTCGATTTTTAAAAAAAATTCGATTCAACCCGAAAACCAAAATTTCGATTCCGTTTCAGCTTTTTACCATTTGTGATTTCACCGATTTGTCCATTTCTCTTCTCATTTCCAAATTCCAATTCCAAATAACTAAAATCGACAAATCCCTAACCCTAACTCCCTATTCCCTAAGTCCCCGTCGCCAGCTGCCGTCGCCTCGTCGCCGTTGGCTCGTTGCTTCGCCGAGTCGCCGTCGCTCCCTCGTTGCCTCGCTCGTCGCCGCATAGGCCCGAAGTCCCTCGTCGCCTCCCTACCATTGCCTCGCTACCATCGTCGCCGTTCGCTGCTGCCGCCGCCGCCTCACCGCCACTCGCATAGGCCCGAAGTCCTCGTCGCCTCCCCTGTCATTGCCTCGCCGCCGCTGTCGTCGCCTCGTTGCCACCGCCTCAAACCATATTTATCATTCTTTCTCTATCTCACCAATCAAGAAAACAAGCAAATCTTATTTCCGACATTAAAAGGATAGGTCGGTTTGATAATTTGTTGCATTGTATTTTTGTTTTCTTTTATAATTATATTGTCTTAACCATGCTAGTCATGAGATTAATGTGATCTTTTGGGTTCGTTTATTTTCATGAATTGTAGACGATATGGACCATATGGTTGTTCCTGTTTTTCATCCGGGGCGAAAATATGTGAAAGCTAGAGTCGTTGATACATTTTTGTTTTTGGTTTTGTATTGCTTATTGAGGTTGTTGTTTTTGGATTTGTAATGCTTGGATTTTGATCCCAATGAGTTTTTGATTCATGGGTTGGCAGTTGTTCGAGCAGTAGGCCAACCGCGGGCGAAGCAGTGAGCCTCATCGTTATCGCTCACTTGTATATATTTTAGCAAATACAAGTTATACAACTTTACATAAGTCCTTGAAATTATTGAAATGAATTCAAATGGAAGAAAAAAAATCGTTAATAAATGAATTCCAATTTGTTGACCATTACTTACCAAATCTTGCTCCGTAATATGGTTTGCTCTCGTAGTCCAAATAATCTCATACCATGTTGGCATGTTGTATCCGGAATAATAGTAATGAGTAAAATAAAAAGACTTGTACAAACTAGGAAAGTAGGACCGTTCTCAACGATCCAAAGAGGCAAGGATCGCTATATTTCTCGAAACAAATGAAAAGAAAACGAAAGATGAAACATAAATCATGGATCAATTAAGCCCTCTCGGAGACTTGATTAAGAATAAGAAAGAGGTAAATACCATGGAAATATGGAATAAGGTTTGATCCTATTTGGCTATTTATTGGGATTCCGTAAATATTCCATTCCATAAAAAACAGAGAAAGTTTGAAACAATTGGGATTTTTTTTGGAGATTGGATGCAGTTACTAATTCATGATTTGGCATGTACATAATGAAAACTTCATTCTCGATTCTACGATAATTTTTATGAAAGCCTACCGCATCGGTGCCTCCCGCCTAGCTAGATTGTTTTTTTTTTTTTTTTTGCTTAAGCTTAAGGACTAAGGAGTGTGAACTATGAAGCTTAATACTCATTTTCTTATGTTTTTTATGTAGATGTCTCAATCTCAATCCATAGAGATGAATCATGAAACTATGGATTCAAGCAATCCTAATCCACAATCAAGTGCAACTCCAAGTAACGCTCAAGACAAGTGGCAAAAGGAAAGAAGAGGAAATCAATGAAGCCAAGATCGATGGTGTGGGATCATTTCACAAAGTTTGAAGATGATAAGAAAAACATGAAGGCTAAATGTAACTATTGTGATAAGGTATTTGCTTGTGATCCTTCAAAAAATGGGACAACTTCACTTAGGTCTCATGTTTTGACTTGCAAAAAAAAACCCTTTTAGTTGTATTGACTCTACCCAAACTCAATTAGACCTAAGAAAGCTTAAAGAGGGAGAAAGTAATCTTACCATATGGAAGTTTGATCAAAATGTTAGTAGAAAAGATTTAGTTGAAATGATCATTCTAAATGATCTTCCATTTAAGCATATAGAGGGTAGGGGATTCAAAAAGTTTTTGTCTAATTTGTAACCTAGATTCAAGATTCCATCTCGTTTTACAATTTCGAGAGATTGCTATTAAATTTATCTAGATGAGAAAATAAATTTGAAGCAATTTTTGAAACAAAATAGTTAAAGAATTAGCCTTACTACGGACACATGGACATCTATTCAAAGAATCAATTACATGTGTTTAACTGGCTCATTTTATTGATAATG